TTTATTTGTTCCCGCATCAATATTTCTTTTTCAAGCCTATTTTTAGCATAAATTTTAAATCATTTAGCATCACTGATCAATCAATTGAAATGAAACAAAGGGAAACAAAGGGAAAGACTCGCTTTACGCGAGTTAAACCCGCCGGCGGCGAGTCTCGACAAGCCATCTATCTATCAACATTTGGGTTAGGAATTATTTAAATTTTATCCTCTCATGCGCAAATTCGTTTGGAGCCAGTAAACCAGTAATAAGCTTTATCGATTTCAGTACTTTTAAAAATAATATGGTAGCTTAAGATTTAGTTTATTTTATTTATTAATATAATAAATTTTATCGATAGCTATGATTGAAGTTTTCCATAAATAATTTATTACGATTTTATTTTTCAAGGTTGAATGAATTCATTCGATAGAATCATCATAATTATCTATTCATTTATCTATGAAAATTCAATAATCAACCAACTTTAAGAAATAAACATGATTTATAATTATAACATAAATTATATTAAAAGATAATAAATAAATTTGTGAATTGGATGGATTCTATCTTGAAATTAGTCAAAAACACATTTACACACCCTATGCAGAAGCAAAATGCTCGAGCGGCGTGGTTTTGTTGCTCAGTTGGCACTAAATTCAATTTCCTACCTCTCGCTAGGCAGTGTAAGCAGCCATAAAAAGTTATGGCTATGCCTGAGCCTAGAATATCTCCAGGAGATTCTCGGGCGAAAGGGATTCTCATAATAAATCAAATAAGTATCTTTTAGAGGATCGAATCTTCAAATATTAATTTTTAGCAATGCTTTTTTATGAGCAAATGGTCGAATGTTCTGATAAAAATCATCTAGAAACCGGAAATTTCACGGCTATCACTTTCTCCTCGTTTTGCAATAAAAATCATTTTGCACGTGAAAATTTCGTACAAAAAACTTGCTAACGTATATAGGATGGATAAAAAACTTTTTTTTGTTTAAACAAGACAGCTGTATTATTTTTCAAGAATCGCACCACTAAAATTTTGTGTTTGCTATCGCGAAAAATTTTTTTCACATAAATAATCATCGTTAACGACAACCAGTCGAATTTTTTCGTTGCAATTGTTCAATTAGTGTATTATTGCTTTTTGCGAAGCAAAATCGTCCTTCTTTTGTTTTTTCTTACATTTTAAGATAATTAAAATTAGTGAAATTAATGGGATGCTTGCAGTTGCAATAAAAGCACAATAAAATAATATCAGCTGTTCTGAAAATTTTCAGAAATAAATTCCGAAAAATATCGTGAATTTGCAGCTTTTTAAACCAAAACGAGCAGCAATGCCATTTAAGGACAACTGAAATTAGTGAAATGCTTGGAATTTCTATATTTCATCTAAAAATTTTTATCTGTTATAAATAAATAATTGATTTGATAAATGGAAAAAAACTGGCTGCGTAAACTGAAAAGCGAGTTTGTAGGAATCGTATATATAAATAAAATATTTTTTTAAAACAAACACGTTGTTTTTCATAGCAATTCAGCGGTAAAAATTTCATTTTATGTCCTAAAATTATAAAATTTTATATTTATATTCGTTGATGGTTGATTTGAGTTGTGATTTGAGTTGAGTTGCTTTCCCACTCCTCCAGCATCTAAAAATATTGCCACCTATGTGTTCAAAATCTCCCTCAAACGTTCAGTCAAAATTTGTCTTTCGACGTCATCCATAATAAAGCTTAACAAATGCCGATATACGATGGAGAACGTGGTCTAACTTGCGCAAGGGACGCTTTATTGCAGATATTGCAAATGAAAAAGTGCTATTCTAGTAAAAGTGCAATCGCATGGAACTGCTTGGTGATTTGTGGTTGTATTCCTCCATACATACACATTTGCGCTAATGTACGATACAATTCTTTGATAAGTCTGTTTATCTTCTTCGGAACACTATTGTACTGTATGAGTCGAAAGCAGAGGGTTACCTGAGAGCCGGCTTATCGATTGGATTGAAAACAGCGAAGTCGATGAAGCACATAGTAAATACCAATCATCGTATTAAAATAAGGCCACGATGTATTGCAGAATATTGCAGAACTTGTCTTTAGAATGGCACATTCCTTCATTCATTCATAGAATTTACGATTAGATCCTTTCCTTTCGGGACAGCCGCTTCTAAATTTTAGTTTTTCAAGGTACCATTGTGATATTGAGTCCGGACCAGGTATAGGCACTACTGCGGATCCAAAATTAGGAAGACCGATAAGTGATAACCGCATGATTATTTGGAAAAAGTATTCGACTCTTTATTTTCATGAGCATTATTATGAACATGCAACTAGGGTCAAGACACCGCATATAAAACGATATTTGTACGACTTCCTTAATTCAGTTAGAACTATTATGTGGCTTTTGCTAGCATTTTACTACTGTGTAGCTATTTCTAGGCTAGGTTTGCATATTCATTACATAAGTTAAGGATAAGCATGTCGCGCTTGTTTGATTCCTTTGCCATAGGATATTGAAAACAAGGGTACCATTGGGTCTACAGCAGTCAAATTAATGTGTGATAAACTGTGAAAGCATGAAATGAAATTTTGAAAAAATGAAATTTTATGGCGAAAAATTAATTTCATGAATGAACGAAAAAATAATTAAACAAAAAAAATTTCGTTTTACTTTTACTGTTAGTCGTTTAATTAATATTCAATCTATTTAAAACTTTTAATATAAAAAGTTGAAAAGAAAAGAAAAAGCAGAGGAATCAAGGGAAAAACAAGGAAAAATATCATGGAGTGGAACTAAATTAAATTCAAAATACGTGGATATTTGGAGAAACTCAAATTACCGTATTAGTATTCGTTATACGGCTCATACGAGAGAAGTGTTTTACTTAAAAATCCTGGCGGTGCTGGTGGCACTTTTTACTTCCGCCGCTAAGTGCTTCACAAAAAGAAAAATAAACTTCATACCATCTAACATCTAGCAGAACAATAAGAGTGAACTAATTCCTTTTCGTTTACTATTCGTATAAAATACGTCGCATTAGTAAATTCGCGGATTCAGGTGAGTGGTGATCGATGTGTTCTTCAAAGGTTCCATCGACGTGGCCTAATGACACTCCATTTAAAGAAGGATTTAAAGAACTTTGCGGGCTCTTAGAAGATAAATTCAAAGATAAATCGTCGCATTACTTAAAATTTTTATTATTTATTTTATATATATTTTTTTCACCAAATTGCTTCAAATTGCTTTATTTAATCTAAGATTAATTGAATTTTTTATTAAATTTCCTTATTTATCTTTTTTTTTGCGAATTGAATTTTATTTCATTTTTTTTTTCTGTCCATTTTTCCATTTCTCATCGAATCTCATTTAAAACTGCGTTAACTAGAAAAAATTAAATGTAAAAAAAGGAAAACACGAATTTCGATATTCATCCGATATTTGTAAATTATCCGCGTAAATTAGTCTAATGAATGAATTTAATATTTCTTAATATTGTTGAAGCAAAAATGTCTGAAGTACGAACGAGATTACTATCGAGCGGCGAATCACTCGAACCAGTTCAGCAAGTGTTGGACAAAATGAATCCGGTCGATGAACAACTCGATCCATCATTTTTCAAAGTATTCTTCCAGATTTTTTTGAAATTTTTTTCCCAATATTTCCTAAATTGATTTTAAAAATGTGCATTCTCTCTATGCTATACGCAAATTTTGCACACTAGTCGGATTTCTTATCATCAGTGAGGTTTTAGCTAATTCCGCTACTGCGTACGGATGACGGCGAGGTTTATTATACATATCCGAAAGAAAAATCCGATATTAAAAAGAGAAATAAAAATGAAAATAAAACGAAATTAAAGAAGATAAATGAAAAATTTATCAAATCAAAGACTCTGATTTTTCATCGCTCCAAACTGATAACATCCCCACAAGCAATTTATCATAGCTTAACATTCGTTGATGCTAATTTAGAGTTTATAGCTAATACGAAAATTAGGATTTAAATGCCGAAAAATGGTTTCTGTATAATCCTCCAATTAATTATACAACTTAGAGCATTAATTATACTTAGAGCATTTTGGAGTATGACAAACAAAAATTCGTTCTGAGTAAGGTCTACCAAAAACTTAATTCGTACTTACATAAGTCGTACATGAAACAAAGAAAGCCTTGGATCTATTTTTGAAAGTTCTTCTCTGAAAGAATAAATTGTGTATTTTAGAAGGTTTTTTAACAATTTGTCAACTATGAAGAAAAAAATATCTAAATTCTAATCATTAGTTAGATTTGATAATGATCTTTGGGATTATTATTAATCATCGATATAAATAATAGGAAGATACTTCAGAAACTTTTGAATAATGTACAGAATTTTTACTTCAAAGGAACTTTGACTTATTCACTTATCATCTATCTTTCTTTTATTTATTTTATTTATTTATTTCTTTCAATCTTTTTATTTATTCTTCTGTAATGTTTATGAATCTTCTCATCTTCCGTGATAATATAATAAACCTTACAGTCGTCAGTCAGTATATAAACTTTGATAAAGTCGTTAATCCACATTGTGAAAAATAATGAGCCAATGTGACCACCATGTGACATCTTTGACCTAACCCGAATTGTATTAGAAAGCGTGGCATTGATACGAACCATTTAAAAGCGATCATCCAGATAATTTAACGCTCACCTGTAAATCTCCAGTAACACCAAAATTATTAATAATATTCGAAAACTTATTCTGCACAACCTATATCATTTTTTCGATGGTTCTTTTTTTCAGCGATTAACCAATAATTAATTACGGCATTCGACATCATTTTCAAGGAATTTCATCCTTAATCTTTATGTTCATTAGCAATTATATATACTCGCGATTTTTTTGCATCTTCTAGGTGAAATGATGCAAGCACATAACACACATTCAAGCACACATATGGCGTGTGGTTTTGCTAGCCGTGCTTGGTAATAAACTGTTCGCGAATAAATAAAAAAAACACCTGGATTATCTATTTAGATGATTGAATTTTACTTCGATAAAGGATCATCAGTAATTCAACCAAAGCTCGTCGAAGAGCATCCATCACATTATATGTCACTCGAAGAAAGGCAGAAATACGTTCACGGAATTATGGAAATAATTAAGGCGACGAATAAAGTATATCAAATAATATAATTTTATTTTGTATTGTTCATTTTGTTGAGAAACTGGAACAAAAAGCTTTATTTCATGGAATTTTTTATTGCAAAATAAGGATGAAGAATAATTATGACTCGACAATTTAGTGTATTTTTCAGATATTACATATTACGTTTCCTATACGTAGGGAAGATGGAACTTATGAAATCATTCATGCCTGGAGGGCACAACACAGCGACCATAAACTTCCTACGAAAGGGGGCATTCGCTTTTCGCTTTCCGTCGATGAGGATGAGGTTGGATTATTTGAATTTACCACTTCCACCTCAATTTCACTTCTTTTATCATTTGATAATGCTATCTTGATTAGACTTTTGGAGTTAGTGCCCAAAATCTTTTGCTTTAGCTTTTTAGCTCTTTATTATTGAAAAAAAATTAGCTTTTACGGCTCAAGTATCGGCCTTAGAATCTCAATTATCTCACTTTAAAAATCTAAAATTTTAACTGGTGATTAAAATTTTTAAAAAAAAGGGTAAAACTTGATAATTCAAAATAAAACTTGTTTTTAGGTCAAAGGCCTAGCAGCGTTGATGACTTATAAATGTGCAGTTGCTGGTGTTCCATTCGGGGGTTCTAAAGGTGGCATAAAAATCGACCCGCGGAAATATACCGAATATGAAATAGAAAAAATCACTAGACGGATGGCTATAGAACTTGCTAAGAAAGGGTTCCTTGGACCTGGGGTCGATGTTCCTGCGCCTGATATGGGTACAAGTTCAAGAGAAATGGCATGGATCGCTGATACTTACGCACAAACGGTTGGATACTGTGATAAGGATGCATATGCTTGCGTTACTGGAAAACCCATTGTTTCTGAAGGCAAAATTTTTATAAGAATTGATGAACTAGATCTCAGAGAACTGCTCTGAATAGAATAATTTTCCAAGAATCTCTAAAGTACAAAAAGAAATTAAAAAGAAATGAAAAAATGATCTTCGATAGACAGACATATTTTCCCATCCGTTTAACTATTAGAAGGAAATAAAATAAAAACCAGGAATCCATGGGCGAACAGAAGCTACGGGAAGAGGTGTCCTTGCTGGCCTTGAAACTTTTATGGAGCATGAAGAGTTTATGAAGAAAATCGGCCTCGAACCTGGACTTAAAGGAAAAACGGTCATAATTCAGGTAAAATTTTGAATAATTAGAACAAAATACGAGCGAAATATATAAAAATCTTTAAAAACAGATCAGTGTTTGAGTTTAAATTTTCTTTAGAAAAATTCTGAAATATAAGTCCTGCAAAAACAAACCAATGTTTCTCTTTTTGATTACAGGGTTTTGGTAATGTTGGAACGTATACAGCTCATTTCTTAGTGAAAGCTGGAGCAATACTAATTGGCATACAAGAGTGGAACTGCTCAATTTATAATCACAAAGGAATCAATGCGGAAGATTTAATTCAATATACAAAAAAAAATCACACAATCCAGGTGCTTTCATTAATAAGGAAATAATTGAATTGATAAATTGAAGTTGAGCATCAAAAGTGAAATGCGGGTAATGCTGGGAATTCATTTTTACTTCTACTTTTATCTTCAAATGACTCAGTTGGAAAAGAATTCCAATCTTAGCAATTGTGCCAGTCGAACCAGAAATGAGGAGTGGTGATGTGATTAACTCTTTATGCAATAATGCTTTAAGGTTTTTTGGAATATTCTAAAAAGTTAATAAATGAAAAAATTTAGCTATTTGATGGCCTAATTATGAATTATTTGTCAGGGATTCCCGGGTGCACAACCTTTCGAGCCATTCGCTGAACTGCTTTATGAAAAATGTGATATTTTCGTTCCAGCAGCATGTGAAAAAGTTATTAATCGAAATAACGCAGATAGAATTAAAGCAAAAGTATTCAAAGTTATTCGCATTAGCAGTTTAAAAAATAACTTTAACTAAATTTTCAATTTTATGCGCCTGAAAATGCAAAATTGCATTTGAGTTTTTGAGTTTTAAGGTGATCGCTGAAGCAGCAAATGGACCAACGACGCCAGCGGCAGATAAAATTTTCCTAAAGAGAGGCGATTGTCTGATTATTCCTGACATGTTTATTAACGCTGGAGGTGTAACTGTATCATTTTTCGAATGGCTTAAGAATCTGAATCATGTCAGTTTCGGCCGATTGACCTTTAAACATGAGATCGATTCCAGCTACGATATACTAGGTGTGATTTTAATGCATTTACGTATAAGCTAGTTAAAAACCGACCAAACGTCAAAGGCAATACTTCTTGTCCCCCTCTCCCACCTCTCCTTCATTATATTTCCATATATACTACTATATCGTACTCTTTTTACATTCGCCAAACCCGATTATTCTGCTTTAATAACTTTTTTCTTTCTCGTCTGAATATTTCGAATCATGACCATTTTTTGCAAAAATGAACGAGACTTGGCTAATGAATTGGGCCAAATGCTGTTGATGCTCTGGAATATAATTTTGGGGGATTTAAAAAAATTTTTCAACTCGATATGACAAAGGGGGAAATCGAGGCTTGATTGAATGTTAAAGGAAAATAATGGGATTTCCTGAGGGCATTTAAGATTTCGAAAAATTCTCTGTAAATACAACAAGAATGTTTAAGGATTTCATGTTTATTTAAAGCTAATTGTATTCTTTCCGAAGAGCTTTTTGTGCTCCTGCTGCAATGTCTTGATATTTTTTATCTTATAACTCTACCGCAGCACCTTCATCCCCACTAGATTCTACGGATCAGTAATCTATCTTTTGGAATTTTACAACTCCTAGTTGCGATTATGACAAAATTACTGTTATGGGTTGAAAAGTAATGGAGAGGTGAAAAAATAATGGCGATTAAAACTGGATCTGGAAGTCTAAAGTGATAGGCTTTATAATATTGTGAATAATATTATGGCGAAGTTCTAAATAATTGGGGGTTAAGGAATTGGAAATGTAGGATATGGTAGGACCTAAAGGATGAAAGATTGGTATTGAAGGACGAGATTTTACAAGCAATATTAAAGATTTTAAAGAAATGTAAGTGAGTTGCAGAGAAGGAACGCGATATGGTAGTATATTTTGGTGCATAAACGAAATAAGATGGAATCTATACAGTTTAAAGGAATTTTTAAAAAAATTTACTGTCAGGTATTTGCAGTAGAATAATGCAAGATTAGGTGGAAGACTTTGTTAAAGAAGGTTTTGGGAATAGATTAGGGAGTGTTATTATAGTTTCTGATGCAAGAAATTATAATGACCTCAGGTTTTAGTGGTTTTAAAGATGTGGCATGGCCAAAGATGATTTAATACGGTGCCGAAGATTTCATAAAATTTTGTCTTAAACCAGCTAATTTAACTATTTCTCCAGTACTCCTCTTTTTTAAATTAAATTAAATTAAAAGAGACCAACAGACCATTCCAAATTATTTAAATTTTCTTGTGAGATCTTTTTTCTACTAAGTTTGCTATAAAAATTGCTCGAATTCTTCATTCAAAATTTCTGGCCATAAAAATGGTTCAATATTTATTATTAGTACTTACGAAGACCCGTCCTACAGGCAGAATTATCCATTGATATATTGAAATCTTTCTTCGAAACTTGATGTATAGCTTTGCCATCTGCTAAAATTCTAGGCAATTCTCTCTTATAACATCAAATTCTCTCTACTTACTCTACAATTCTTATCGTATTTTCACCTTTTGAAATTTTACAATTTGTTAAGGCTGTAGCAAAAGTAAGGATTATGAAAGCAACGAAAAGTGGAACTAAAATGCAGTAGGAAAAGATTTAAGATAATGCTACTAATAAATTGGCATAAGAGTACTGCTTAGGGCTGTGTTAAAATTTTACGCACATATATCTATATATATATATTTGCAAAATCTGAGTTGGCCGATATTTTGCAGGCAGTGTGACGGATTTTTAAGGAGATTTAGTAGGCTCGCCACAGAATTAGATTATCAAGGCAATTTAAAATAGCATTTTAAGAGTTATAAATGTGCTAATATATTGGTTGAATAGAAATATATATGGATCTTACATGTATTAAAAAACAGGAAAAATTCTTAAGAACTTATCGCCATAGAGTTTGCAATGGTGATTAAGAAATTATGAACATTTAGAGATATACAAGGAACGTTACTGATAACTTTAATGATAAGAAGTAATTTAGCGTTTGAGAGATTTATGAGAAGTAAGCGATTTTAGCAGAAATTCATTCAAGGAGATGCCACTAAAATAAAATTTAACACGTTCTGAATTGTAGGAAGTGTGAAAGATTCTCTTGAACGAGAATTCAAGCGAAAAATCACAATCGAACCGTCAATCGCATTGCAGGAACGTATTAAAGGAGCATCTGAGGAAGAAATCGTTAACACGGGCCTCGAATATAGCATGCAAAAATCAGGTAATTTTCATTTTTTTAAATTCTACATGAATTTTATTCGTTTAAATATTTTACAAAATTAATGTCACACATTTAAATGCAAATTTCAATATTCATAATATTTAGCAAGAAGCATTATTAAAACGGCAGAAAAATACAATTTGGGATTGGACATGAGAACCGCGGCTTACGCGAATGCGATCGAACGCATTTATAACACCTACAGGACGTCCGGTTCCACTTTCTCGTGAATGAAACAGTCTTATTTCACTTACTTAGTTCAAAAATTTTTTATTATAGAGTGCTTTTAGCGAGTAAGATGAAGGACCCGTGCGGAACTTCTCACTACCCTACAATCCTTTGGTTTTCGCGTACCTCATTAATCATATCTCGTAATCATATTTTGTATAACGTCAAATATTTCTACTGCACTGATACATAATTGCAGTGCCGAGAAAAAAGTCAAAAGAATTAGAATCAAATTAATTAATTTAGAATCAAACCATCATATAATTAATATTTTTATAAAACTATTTTTATAAAGGTACTTTTACTGGTTAAACAGTTACATTCATTGGTGTTTAACTGAAAGCATCGAAATGATCAAAAATACGATATTTTCATACAATACGGCGACTGATTTTAACATAAAATTAAATGATAAATTTGTTTTCTTTTAGAATTTTCACCATTACTGGTTAAACTCGCTGGCTTGTCGTACTGGACAAATAAGTTAGGAAGTCCTTTGGCGATAGAATATAGGTGATTCGCCAGTATCATCCGGATTTTTGGACCGATTTCTCCTGCGGAGAATAGAACCTTAGCATCGGCGTTCCGAGCAACAACCCACTGTGCCATTCTAATTTGATTTTTTACAATTACATTAATAAAACAGGAAAAAAAGAGAAAATAACAAACAATGATTAAGCTGAATTGCCTGCCTTCATTTTAGATTTTCATCATCAGATACAAATTTATTTTAATTGGAGCTTGAAAAACTACAAATTACGCAAATAAATTCGTACATACTGTTGCAAATGAGTGAAAACGCGAGAATAAAACAGCCGCTAAGGAGATTACTCTCTTCCCGAAAAACTCCGGAAGTGCCGGCGGCCTATCTATATTTTTAGGCGAAAAATTCCAACGCTATTAAAAAAATTATTTCTCACAAATTTAAATAAATTTTAATATAAAAATTTAAATAAACAGTAATAATAATTTATGCTTTAAAACATTAAGCAAATATCTTATCATTTATTTCCTTATGAAACAAAATAACAAAATATTTATTTACATACATGTAATAAAGCCGTAAAGCCTGTCACAACCATAAAAAACAAACAATATTATATTCATTTTACAAAAAATGGCACATAAAAGTGTTTTATAAAAAATTAGCAGAAAAAATATAAATATAAATCGTCAAATGAAGATAAAAATTTACTTATTAAATATTTCTCAATTTGAGGTAATAAGTGAAAATAAAAAATTTCACAACTCTTTCAGAATGCATTACATTTTATTCAAATGAATTCTTCCTTAAGGCAACTTATTTCACTTTACGAAGTTAAGGAATTAAGGATTTTTTTGACTGCAAAATCCTCCGATTACAAAGAAGAAAAAAGAAGAAAAAAAAAATGCGTAGGATTTGCACCCGCAAATTTCGCTTTTTCCCTTTTATTAAAGTCACAAATTTCAATAAGTTTTCCAATTCCTTTCAATTCCAATTTCTGGGAAAATTTCATTTAAATCGAAAACAACGATAAACGAGAAAATTTCGAATTATCAACAATAAAGAAATAGAACAAAGCAATTGAATTCTTTTTTTTAAAACGCAAAACAGTAAAGTTTACGATTAAATCGCTATTTTGTCGAAATGCAAAACGATCGATCTTAAATTACAGGTTAGTGGGAAGGTGGCCGTGCTTGTTATGATTTACTAAAAATTGCAATTCATCTACGACTGCATCGTAAGAAATCGACATAGGAAAACTATTTCTTACCTCATGAATCCGGTCCCTTCGAAGAGGCCTTAATAATTTTTTGTAATCGATTTCAGACAAATCTGAATTAGTAATAACCGAATCGGAAGAAGAAATATTAGCATTTTCTGCTTTAAAATGAATCTTCCGAACATTAGGCACATCATTTGATGATGAACTGCAATTTTCTAAACAGTGGGCCCGATGTATTTTTATGTTTCGTGCAAAAGATCGCCTGCGCGGATCTGCTATTAGTGAGCGATGTATAGGAGAACGTAGCGTTGTTTTAAAGGAACGAGACATATCTCCATCATGAAAAGAATTTCTTTGCCCTGCGAATATTTCAGATGGACCTGTTGAAGTGGATAAAAAGCGATCTCTATGGAAAGGTAAAACATGATACTTAAAAGAAGAAGGATTGGTTGGTGAAACAGCCGAGCGATTGATATTTACCGCATTCGGATTTGTTCGTTTCTTGATAAGAGAAGAATTTAGACAGTTTGCCGATCTGCCAAACGAATGTGGCATATGCATTGAGCTCTGAGGCACAACAAATGTTCTAGAAGTCGGAAATACGACCGGATGGCGATACATATTCTCGGCACCGATTTTCAGCGAAATATCTCTGAATTTGCGGCGTGAACTGCGATGGACACGATCTAAATCTAAAAAATTTTCTTTAAAGTATGTATGATCTTTTATTTTTTCTTAACAAAAGGAAAAAGACTGATAAAATGACAATTCGCTCTAAAACTCTTTTCAGTGATTAAATCTTACTGGTTAGACTAGCAAAAAGGTAATAAACAATATTCATGTTTAATGTTCACTGTTTAAAAGTTTCAGTTACGTTCAAATAAAATCCTCAACGAAATCATAAGAATTTAATATAGAAATCACCTTTCATGATGGATGGTTTGCCCTGATGGTTCGGGAAATTCGTGTAGTCTATTCGCTGCGAAGTATATTGGTCGACCATTGCCGACTGACCGCATGTTTCCGTTTGCGGCGCTATATGCAAACCATGAATTGAATGCGTCATAATAATCGGAACTGCAACCGGAATAGAACTGCGGTTGAGCGTCGGGTTGATAGTACTGTTGTTGCTGCTCCATTCGTTGAATGTATTGCACATTCGAATGCGGTTGAGGCCTTTCGATTGAATCGTTGAATTGGGTTTGAACGCTTCTATAAATCGATTAGGAAATATTTCGTAAATCATAAAAGCTTAATCATAGCAAAACTCAATATGACACTAACTTCCAATTGCATCGACTGTTATCTGCCCTGGATGCATGGCTGCCAGAGGGGTCGCAGTAGTAGTATCGCTGTAAGCGGTTCGTGGTCGGACCATATCCGCCTCTGCACTTTTGTGCCTATAGAAAACGCTTTTTCGGTATTTTTCAAAGGAAAAATAGTCAAGAAAATTTTAAAAAAATAAATGCGAAAAAAAGCATGGAAATTCATGAAAAATATCAAAAACGGAAATCCCTTGGAACTTTGGCAAACAGAAAGGAAATTAAAATTAACCCATTGATAACGATAAAAAAAATGAGAGAGCAGACTGAATTACCAAAAGATCAATGTTGCCGTTTAATTATGAACAGCTTAGAGCAGCAGAAAGCGTGTAGGAATGCTTGCATGAAATTGTTAATTAAATAAAACAAATTGATTAAAACGAATTTTGTTAATTAAAGCATAATAAATTATGTTAAATGAAATGGCTAAAGCATAAGGAAGAAAAAAAGCCAATTCAATTCAACACATCGAACTTTATTTTAAATTTTTAACAGCCAATACCAACTACCAGAAATTGAAAAATTGAAAACCTCTAAAACCATTCAAGTGAATAAAAGTAATAGGAAGAATTGCAACTAAATGACTTGAAATGATAGAACTCCATTTATCACCGCAGTAAATCCACACACATCGGGAAGAAATTTCAAGTTCACCGTAAAGTTCAAGCGAACCCGTAGGTTCGACATTCATAGATTTCGTTATTGCCCAATACGTATCTCACGCACCTTTTAAACTGAATATGATAAACAAATTACAGATTTATGTTTATAAAGATAAAGTAGAAAGGGACTGAAGCCGTAAGCGTTATGGTGATTTGAAGATGGTGTTGGTTAGTACAACGATAGTAATAATTAGGTTGCTACAGTGCATTCCCGCCCACCTCAAAATAACGCTATCGTAGAACTTCGAGTTTGCAACCCGAACAAATGCATCAACTGGCAAATCGTCGTACTGCTTTCTCTCTTCATCTTTTAAACACTCACCATCAATTTCCTGAATAATATTTGAAATTCTAATCAATTCAGCCCACTATTCAGTTGCATATTTTCCAAAAATTTTTCATTTTTTTAGATATAAAGTTGATAATTCTTTAAATCGAAATATATTTGCAAATAAAAACAATAATCGATAATTTAAAAATTTAAATTCTATTCAACGATATAAACAATTTCACCAGTGAGTTTCAAATTTGCTGAAGCAATATTTTATAGTTATTATAAACCTCATTAGACCGATTTGTGGCTGAATGATGCGACGAACTCAGCTAACATTTGGTAAACAAATTTATAAAATGCAAATAATACACCTAGTAAAATATACGGTTTGAATTTCCTGGCTTAACAGCGAATCGTGTGCCCCTTTTTTTCATGCTAAATCTAAAAAATAAAAAAGAAAAACCTTGAAGTAAAAAAACCACTCGAAATTTTTCAAAAATAGATCAAAAAGGAAAATGAGGAAAATTATGGAGAAAAAGCACAAATCCAAACAACTAAATAAGTTGACTAGGCTCAACGAAAAGAACTCATCTAATGATAAGTAAAATAGTTATAAGCAGCATCGTTTTATTTATTCAAAAGTAAATTTAACCGAATGAATGATAAAAAGATTAAAATATTGTTGGTTAATATGGTTGGTTATTTTCGAAAGAATATGAGAATTATAGGCGTAAATTTAGTGAATAAATGTTAAAAAAAGCACATATGCTACTTTAAATATTATAGTAATCACTATTGAAATTTACGTATTTCTAAAAATTGTTTCTTTCGCAACCAAAGTCAGTAAATCTTTCGCTAAGTTATAAGCCTCAAATCAAATAAGCAAGAAATAAATTTTTTTCAAAAAACATTACTTGGTCAAGTGAATCGAAATTATATCCATCGTATTCAACTGGATAATAAAAATTTGACGATTGAGCATTAAAATTTGCGCGCTGTTCTTGTTTCTGCTTTAAACAGTCAAATTTCGATCGAATTCTATAATTATATGAAAAGTATAAACAAGATTTAAGCAAAAATGAACAAAAAATAGTCTTGAAGAGAATTAACTAACTTTCGTCTTTCTTCTTCAAGTTTTGATCGTTCATCATTAGTGAATATTGGTACTTTTTCGGGAGAAGAATCTCGAGAGCGACCGCCGAATTTCTGGCTTAACCGAAACAAGAGGCTGTAAAAAAAATAACGAGATTCCGAAATGCTGTCTTGAGTTAAATTAATTTAAAAAATAATGTTGATAGAAAAATGGACAAATAAATAAATAAAGTAGATGGAAAAATTAAGACTTTAATAAGATACCCTCCAGAAGATTTTCGGCGTTGTTTTTCCTTCGCCGACAACTGAGTTTGAATCTTTGCTTGATTTGAGCAACATCGTTGCTCATGAGTATTTATTGGATATTCTTCATCTAAAAATTAAAGACTCCATAAACAATACTACCAATTTTTTATGAAAAAAATAATCTAATTTAAGACAGAATTCGAATAAATATGGAAAAAAAATACGTACGATTATTTGCAAATGATACATCTTTGGTAACAGATTCAGTCGAGGCAGAACCATCATTTTGTCGGATAAGCACTGGTTTTGCTCGCTGAACCTTTTTCAAGGCGCTTGGTATTGGCTTCTTCACGTTATGAAATTCGACCGAATTAGTAATATTCGCATCGCTTTTTGATTTATTTGGTTGCCTAAAAGTATAAAAAGTACAATTTTCCTCATTAAAAAAAACTCACGACTATAAAGTGTTTCAATACAAATACCTCTGAGATATACCATTTTTCATACGTTCAAGAGAAGGATCAATTCGATTAGGCGGCGCTGAAATACAGTATAGATGAAAATATACGAAAAAGAAAAAAGACTGGAAAACAAAATTCGATGAAAAATAATGCCCAAGCTTGGCACAGCCAAAGAAATTTGCACATTGCAAATATTAAATAAGATAGAATTAAGTGAAGAGAAAAACAAGTAGTAAAAAATTAATAAGCAAAGGATAAAAATGTGCAGAAATAGAAAAAAATATGCCGGGTGGATCCAGAATATTGCAAAAGCAATAAGTGAATTTTCTTTTGCAAGAGCACTCACCAGTTTTGCTTTAGGCATTCATTCACGCTGGCTTGTTAGGCAAGAAAAATTTTTCCATGAGTTGGCAAAAATGTAGGTGTGTCGCCAGCATGACCAGGATTTTGAATAAAAGATTTACTCTTGCCGTGTGAATAGAATTGCTTGGCGCCCCAAAAACCCACTGAGCTATGCGACCTGTTATTAATTGATATAAGGATGACTAAAATTCCGCATGAAAACCAGCCTTTTTCATTCTTATTCCATGATCCGAGGACCTTTCGACGAAAATATCCATTCGAATATTTTGATTCTTTCAACTGATCAGCGACCAGTTTATTATCTCTATTCGAAATATTTGACAAGCTACCATGAACTGAATCCCGATATTGTTCTTTTTCTGATAGTGGATTTGGAATCACCGTCGAAGCTTTGGAACAAATTGATGAGTGCAGAGTTCTTCCAGAGTTTGGATAAGTTGGCGCTTAAGCGATGTTAATACAATAAAGAAGAAAAAAAGAAAAAACTGATTAAAATAACTGCGCTTATAGTAATAAAGCAAACAGAAATAAATCAGTTCAGTAAATAGATCAGTTATGAAGGAAAAAAATAGCAAAAAAATTCAGTATAAAAGCCAAATATTATACCGTAAATATAACAAATCATAAAAAAAATATCGTTGATAAACTTTATAAAGCAACAGCAGTGACCATTTCAGGTTTAGTTGTTTCTACTGGGTATTGCGATAAGATTCTTCGTCAGGAAATTTCATAAGATAGTCATCAGGACAGGCAGGAGTACTTATGTTAAAGGAGGCGAATTCGAATCCATCTGTGATGGCATGACTTATAGCCGAAACAACCTCTCTTTCGACCATCTCTCCTTTGTTTTACAGAATCAGTGTCCATTAAATAGAAAATTTTTAGCAATCTTTATCATTTTTTAAAGCCACAATATTAAGGACCACAAAATACATTACTGAAGCCACACGAATTATGCGAAGAGTCTCTATTTATATGAACACTAACCACTAGTTTGACGACAATGTTTGATCTTTTGGAAGAAAGTCATTTGATTCAATGCATCATTTGTTTTACCCATATGCCTCTTCTCTGATACCGACCTAATATTGGTAAAATTTTTTTGTTTCAGTGTTATAAATATCAGTGTTAAAATGCTAAAATAAAATTCTTCGATGCTAATTATGCGAAATTTTCAAAATTGTAATTCGTAGTTATATTAAAAAATTCCTTAAACTACAGTTGTGTATTATACATAAAAAAAAACGCAATATTGCCAACTAGCGGTGTATTGAAGGAAAATAAGAGGATTTTGGCTAAAATTGTTCATTTCAGCGTGGATTTATACAATATAATTTAATAGAAAAAATATTTACGTGAAATAAATCGCAATAAATGGTGGAAAACTCAATAATTTAATGATTTAATCACTATCGTTTATATTACTTGAGTTCATTGAGCGATAAGAGAAATGTCTATAATATGAACCTCCTCGTCGGATTCTCTCGGCTGAAGGCAACAAAACTTATACGACTGATTTCGTCATCTGATGCGCATCTTTGCTTATCAGTTGATATCGATTCAATATCATCATTGGCATTTCTATGGAACATTTCAGTAAATTCAAAATCAAGAGTCGAAAACTCTCAAATGATAAATGAACATTTTCGCAGCAATTTTCTTAGTTGCTTCACTTTACATTGCCATTTCTACCAACAGCAAAGAATTAAATCAGCACTTTTGCTGAAAGCGCTCACCATTGCTGGTTAGGCTCGCTTCACTGGCTATCGAACCAAACAAATTTTGTCAGGTCATGTGGATAGAAAATAATTGAGAGTTCTTGATCTTGATGGCAATCACCTTGCCACCAAGTCACCGACGTATTTAGTCTGAAACATTAGAGTAAGATTCAAATGATTTAGGACTTACAAGGAAGTATCATCATTACTTATTGTTCGCCTAACAAGCGCCCGAGGATTACTTGGTTCTTTGATTATCGCTGCATAATCACCATATCCTTAAAAATTTTATTTGTTTTTTATTTATCCTCAATATTAACAATCTAAAAATCAAAATCACAAAAATTTTTAGTGCGTGATTTTAATTTATTACCTTCGATTCTCGTATGAGGTATCTCCAGTTTCGTAACGTTATCATGTTTTCCGAACCTCAACGATTCATCCAATCGCTGAGTTAATTCGTTAAATGAATCGTCAAGTCGTTGTACTGTTAAATTCACACTGGTTGCTGACGGTCCTTTAAATATTTAAGTTTAAAAAATTTCTACAAAATTCTTGGAAAAAAATCGACCAAAAAATGGAAACAAACATTGAGAATTTTAAAATTTAAAAATCTACATTTCATTTTATTTCATTTTATTCTTAAAAATATGTTTCATTTTTATTAGATGAATATCAATGAATGCGTTGGTTAGTTTGGAATAGACTTTTTAGCTAGCAACTACGATGAGGTCCTTAAGCAGCTAAACAAGCACTTAGAGATGTAAATGCAGTGCAACTCGGAGAGTGCGGCCACCTCTTGGGTTTCTAATTTCAGGTCTACTGCCTCGAGGCACATGAAGTGTCTCCTCGAAGCTGAACTCACCTAGCCATATTGTTTTTATTAATTAAATTAAATAACACTTTAATGTCGATTGCAATTTAAAATAATTATTTGAGCTCAATTCCGATTGCAATTCCAATCAAAACCATTCCCTCCATTTCGGCTTTAATTCCTTTTACAGTTTTCTTTGGCAATTTTTATGGTTATTTTCTTTCTTTGTTGAATTACGGAAATGCAAATAAACCGATTTCTTTAAGACATTTTGTTATCGCTTCACTCGCTTCAGCGTTTTTACGAAACAATCGTAGATCAATATTTTCAATGCCGATTAACTGATCGTTAACTTTTAAACGACCATCTTTATACGCCGCACCACCGTGCAAAACCTCAAATTTAAGAATAATTTACTGTGCAAAAAATTGGGAAATTTGGATGAAATATTAGAAATGGGATCTTTGAAATATTTGCAAATATGCAAAAATCATTTAAAGATTTTGCTTGATCTGCGTCAAGCACCTAGAATTCAATTTTCTTATCTTGGCAGGGAAATCAGCTGGTACTGGTCCAATTTGTTTTCAGTCCTTGGCAAAAATTTCTGGCCATAGCCATTCACAATAACCATTTTAACCGTATCTAATTAATAACGGAGCTAATTTAACCGGAAATAATAAGCGCTAATTTTTAATTAAATTTTATTTTATTTAATTTTACCGCCGTGATTTCATATAAAGTTTTTATAAAAAGGAACTTTTTTAATGAAAATTCCACAGTCATATCTCGTTTTGTCCGGTTTCATAATAGCACGAGCTTTCAGGCTTAAACCAAGTCCAGCGCTTCCCGTATCATTTAAAGCAATGTTAAAATGCAAAATTTGTGCGTTTGATTGAGGAACACTGAAAAATTTTATAGTATTAACATTCGATAACTATTGGTGATGTTTCCGATAAAGAATGTTTGAACATAGGTGATAACAATTGCGATGCGCTTGTTAACACAACTCCTTGTTTTAACAAAAATTAATAAAAGAATAAAAAAGTGGAATAAGAATTTGCTTGCATTAACTAATAAATAAAACCGTAGATAAATCTGATAATTAATGCAGTATAATGCACTATCCGAAATATCAATAGGAAAAATTTATTTCAATAGTCAGAGCTAAAAATGGAAGAATTGAGAGATAGCATTTTAGTCTTAATAAAAGGCCAATTTATTTTTCTAGGAACGTTCAAAATTTTGTGGCGAGGTTCCATGTCTTGCAGATAAATTTTGTCGGGAGCTACCTGGCGGTGGAAATATAGTCAGATGAGTTGCCAGCATCACCACAAAGACAGGTTTATTCTCAGTACTGGCATTCTAAAATGAAAGTGACAATTCACTCACTGAGCCATTCTACCACCTTCCCCATCTCTAGCATTGTACAAACTTAAAGTTGAACTTGAATTTAAATCTAAATTGTTTATTTCAAGTTCATTTAAAACAGGAAATGAACTTAGAATGATAAATGAGTGATAAGCATTCGACGTCCAGTACTACCATCGATGCTAATCACAATACCACAAAGGACTTACACTCCACTAAATCCGGGCTCTTCGTCATTATTCTTTTCGGATTCATTCCTTTCTTCATGCACCAAAGTATTTGTGTTATTATTGGATACAGCCGGCTGATTTACTTCACATTCATCTTTGTTCAATCGCGAAATTAATATTCGCACAGTTTCGCCGACTTTCAACTTTTTCAACTTATCGACCATATCGACTTGCCTCAGTTCAGAAACTGATTCACCATTAACCTATAAAAAAAGACGAATGTCTCAACTTTTCCAGATTTCTTCAGCCAAATCCCTTTGACATGAATAATAATAAAAATAAGGCAATATAGCAAAAAATAAAAATGCCGATTCAGCAAATAGAGTGAATAATTTCTAATTGTTTTAGATGAAAAAATTAGTAAATGAGTGATAAATAATAAAAATAGGAGAAAATGGCAAAAGACATTAGTGGTTTTGGGTTTTTTTCTTTTATAACCAACAAGACAAAATCGTACAAAATTTTTATAGTGTAAAATATTAACACTTATCAATTTTGAATGTTTAATGAATTTTTTTCATTCTTTCACGAGCGACATCGAATTTGTGAAGCAAAAATTTTATAGATGTGTAGGTATGATGCTTCGATCTTTTATGAGTTCAGTATATTGGCTGCAAAAGATATGCCAACGAAGTTATTGTAGAAGCTTAGTTCATCAAACTTGAAGGTAGTGTACTTCATCAAGGTATTTCAAGATAGGCGAGTGCTTATCGCTCAGCCATGGTCATTCAGACAACATCTGTGAATCAGAAGGAGTAAATCCGTCAATAAAATCCGGCTTATTACTGCTGGTGACCATATCCGTAGTCCGGTAGCAAGTGGTTATCTGGCATAAATTTCTCATTGCAATAACAGCGAACGAAGCAAGCCTTACTAGAGTTTTTTTAAGGCGAATGAATATATTTTAAAATAAAATCAATTAATTAAATGAAAAATTAATTAAATATAAAATATTAAAATGAAATGACCATAATGGTACAACATTATAGGATGTCAATGTTTTCTTCTTTTCTGATTAAAAAGGCTTAAAAAGCTTTAAAAACATTACAGGAAGAAATTAATTTTTCCTGAAAGACAGAATTAAAATTTTAGAGACATCCACTGAAACAAATGGTAAAATAATCTAGTCGTTGAGTAATTTGCTTTGACTAATCATCAAAGAATCAATTTCCGCCTTGTTTGATGGGAGTAAACCTGTTATTAAAAGTGAAACTCGATGTAACTCTCTAAAGAAGGGAACCTCACCAACAGAAAATGGTACTTGCAGCAGGCCGATAGACAAAAAAAGCATCAAAAAATCATTTTTCAAAGAGAAAAACAAACATTACTATCGCTTTTCACTTAAAGAAATTGATTATTCACAAATATAAAATTCATGGAAATTTCCGCAGAGAAATGCAATTATCGTAAAGAAGTGGGAGAAAAGGAAGGAAGAACGAAAAAAATCAAAAACCTCTAAAAGACGATCGCCTGATTTAAGTCGTCCGAATGCGGCACCATTTGCTTTCACATTGCCAATATAAAATAAACGTTCACCTTTAGCAGTTTCACGACTCGTAATCGTAAAACCAAAACCTTGAGAATCTGAAGAAAAAAATAATAAAACCAGATGGAAAAGAAAATTTATTCATTCGAATGAATCAACGTTTCATTTTTTGATAATTGTTGTCTATTATTAAAATTTTTCAAGAAGAATCGAATGGTGCTAACGAACTCTCCGTACTCCGAGATTCACACTCCGAGTGACTCTCTGATGAAGAGGCCTCACTCGTAATAGTCAAAGGAGTCGGCCGAACTAGAAATGGTGAAAGCAAATGGGAGAAAGAGAAAGGCGAAGTTCGAAATAAGTCGCTCATAGCGATTTTAAAATAAACGTTTAAAGTAATTTAACTGATATAAGACACCTTTAACAATATTTACAGACGATGTAAAACCAATTGCAGAAGTATTTGCCAATTGTAAAGCAGAAAGAATTGGTTTTTTGTTATAATTACTCGACGTTGAAGAAGGTTGTATTCGATGCGCTGTCGTCTCTGTAAAACTATTTGTAGATATACATACAACGACGCTTGTCGCGCATACATCACGTACTTCACAGATCATATTTTTCGACTATTTATTCGACAAAAAATAGCAGTAATAAAATAAAAAAAGTAGCTAAAACCAACAAAATTCACAATTCTTATTCTTTAAATGACTTCAGCCCGATTCTTTTAATAGAAATAATATAGAAACCATTGAATTCAAAGATTTTAACTTTTAAAACTAATTATGTTAAGATAAAAATAAAAATAAAATAAAAAAGCTAAATGTTCAAAAAAAACCAAGGGGACAAATGAACGAGGAAACCTGAGTTCAGAAAGGATTCAACAGGTCGGTCAATTGTCAGCGAGGGATGAGGCGTTGACTGGATTTCATGAAGATAGGCTTGAGCTCTCGAGATTGACATCTGAAACGTCGACATGATTAGTTTAAAACCATAAAAATCATAATCAAGCTGAATAACAAATATAAATAAATAAAAAAAAACAACAAATAACAAATATTTTTCATAATTCTGAATTTTGTTGGTGAGAAATATTACTTTAATTTTTTGGATGATTTATGATAATGATTTAAGTTATAATTATATAAATATCGTTCTGATGGCTCTGATTTTGTAACTACAACCTTATTTAAATTCATTTTTCTATAGCTCTGCCTAAGATTTTCAATCACTGGTGTCAACCTCTATTGTTGTTTTTCAAAGATCTTTCAGTTGACAACGTATTTATATTCTGAGTCTTGATGTGTTGAAGAAAAAAGAATCTGATTCATTAAAAAATTCTACCTGGTAAACAGGTCTTTGATTAATTTCAGTGATATGATCACCGACTTTTATTCTGCCATCCGCAGCTACTCGACCTTCGCTATCGATTTTACAAATTTCAACAGCTCGTAAACGATTGATATGATTTAAATCGTAGATAGGTAATAGCTGAAATAACCAAATGTGTGAAGGTCATTTCGCATTAAAGCTATTTTTTGCTAATTCAACAAATGAAGATAAATTGTAAGAAATATAGAACAAAAAGTGGCTTTTAATTAGCACTCATCATTTCTAATGCCTGTTTGTGATGTTTGTGGTGCAGTGGCTATTAGGATAAGATCCTCTCGCCAGAGGGTCTTGAGGAAAGCAGATCCTAACACCATTCACTTTCTCTGAATCACAGCAAGGGCACAAATCTCAATCGAAGTTGTCCACAACAAGGAATAAAAATCGAAAAAATTCCTTACCTCAATACCAAGAGTGTGATTAATGAAATCCTTCGAAAGTGTAATAATTGTTTGACCTGGCGAAGAACCTTCAAAAGGTGGAATTAGCTTTTCATCCTTATGCGATTCTATTATTTCCTCAAGCTTCTCTTTCGCTTCGAAAAAGCTATCAGTTATTCGAGATTTTCGAGCCGAACTCCTTGTCAATGCCGGATTGGTTTCATACATTTTGCACACTACAACCTCTTCACTATCTGATTTTAAAATCCTGCGCTCCACTTCTGTAATGATATTTTCTTAGAATAAGAATAAGATATGTCGAAGACAATCAAAATAAAGGTCAAGGCATGTCATATCACTAAAATCCCTACTATCATATATATAAGTTCTTTTATTTTATTAAAAATCTTCCAACATCACTAATTAGTTCTGATTTGATGCATTAGGACAAAACTTAAAAAGTTACTCAGTGATCGAAGTACAAGTGGACTATCACTCGTTTTATCAAAGATATATATATCATTAACAGATCGAAGAAATTTCTAAGCGATAATGAATGATCAGCAATAATAAAATGATAAACTGATGGCAACCATCAAGAAACGGCCAAATTTTCATCAATTGTGTGTCAATCACTGAGTACGGGAATTTCACAAATAAAAATTATGAAAAAGGAGTTACAATAGAAAAGGACCGTACTTAATAATTGGAACGATATCCACTCGTTATACTTTCTTACATTCCACTTGTATGGCGGCATTGTATATATAAATTATATATTCTAACAGTAACAACACTTTTAGTAATTATTAGATTCTTTGCTCAACTAAATCTTACAAAAGATACGATTTGTGTGTGTTTTCAGTTAAGTAGTCAGTTACAACAATTTATAAATAATTAGTTTATATGGATTGTGCAACTTTGTACCGGTTGGCAACAAAAATTTGCATTTTTTAAGCTCCTTTTTTAATTCAATAATTTATAAACGTTAAATTAATATTATTAATAAATTAACATTTTATTAGTATATAGTGGAGCATTTATATTTATTAAATTAAATCAATTTAGCATTCTCCCAAAAAATCCACTAGAATTTCTTTGCTTGAAGTCCGTTCGTTAATTGAAAAACTCGATTTATATTCGATATGAAAAATAGGAATATGACGAGTAATGATAAGAAATAGCCAGGAAAGCAACAAACAATATGGTACTTAGCACACCTCCAATCATAACTAATCGAGTGATGGAAAGGATTCGCCTGTACTTTTATCCTCAAACGATTCTCTGGCAAACGAACCTCATTCTAAAAGCCAATGAAGCCATTCAAATTAGAAATGGTGAATAATATTAGAAATTCTATAATAGTAGAAATCACTAAAGAAACGTGGAATTTGAAAAGTGATAAGAATATTTAACTTGTGGAAATATTGTTTATGATAAGTAAATGTGGTTCAACTTTTTTAAAGAAAATCATACAGCGAGCAAGTAGAACTCAAGCTCAATGGCATTCTAAAAGCGAATTTGTCTTTAAAAAATCCGGCCAGCCTTGTACTTATACTGCGTCTCTCCCCCAGCTGATTCTCTGGCAAAATTATTTCATCCAATTAATAACACTGAGCTGAATGTGCCTAAGCAAAGCTTCGTTATTTTGCCAATTCAGTAAGTCCAATCAAAAATACTATGAGTTGTTAAAAGATAATGAAGCATGAAATGATAAAAAGTGATGAAAAATAATAAAAATTCAAAAACTTTCCAATTGTTTGAAAAAAAATTGTTAAAATTGGAATGCATGAAATAAAATTTGAGTGAAATAAAAATTTTTAAAATTTTGAAAAAATTTCGCAAAATAAAATTCTTCAAAAAATGGTGAAGATTAGAAAAAAATCGAACGAAATGATCAATTTTATATCAAATAATCAATAGAAAAAATATTATTTCGAGACAGAAACGACGATAAAAAAAATTATTGAGAAATTTTCTATCCAATAAATATTGTATTTTTTCGTATTTTTATGTATGCGTGCAACAATATTATTGCATGTCGACGATATTTGCTGAATGCATTTAGTGAAATTGCATCTTTTCTTTTGCTTGCGATGAAGAAAATTTGTCGTAAAGCAAAAAAAGCCAATTAAAACAACGATTATTTCCCGAGTTCAACGATAATCGGTAAAAATTTTTAGGTAAATGATTATCTAAAAAAGTATAATTGCGAACAAAAATGTAGAAAATTGAAGAAATGCAATCTCATGGAGTTACTTAGAAATGCCGAATTCTCTTTTTTCATGAAAAGACAACTCTTGTCGAAGGGCAAAAATAGAATCTGTGATGGCTTAACCTTCATCGAAGTAATATACTATTTAACCATCCAACACCAACCATATTATGAATCAAATTATCACTGTTACCACTTATGTAGAATGCATATCGATAAGTTGTTGACCCAAAATTTGTTCAGAATTATCTCTTTCAAAATGAACTCATTAATTTCCAAAGAGGATTTAATATAAAGTTGTCTTACTTCTGGCACTTAGAATAAGTTTTATTTAGTTTATAATAAATAGAATTATAAATTTAAAATTAAAATTCAAAATATTAAAATTAAAATTTAAAATAAAATTCGGCATCGCATCAGCGAAAAATTTGATTTTGTCAAATAACCTAAATTTTCAGACCATTTGATCAATTCATTGGTTAAAACAACACTAACTAAATTAACACTTTTTGTTAACATTGATATCAATGATAATAATTTGATGCTAACATTTTCTTACTGCTATTTATCATTTGGTCATCCTTTTTGGTTATCCTTATTTTTTATTCTTGGCTGCCACTGTTGGTTTGGCTAGCTCCACTGGATAGAGTAAAAAGTTCTATATTTTTGTTTACCAAAATTTATAACTTTATATAAATATAGCCAAACCAACTTCAGAGAAAAATTTCAATTTCCGAGGGAAATTTCCAACAAAAGAAAGAAAATTTTGGTAAGAATCGCGAACATCGAAAACTAAATGTTTAGACTCGCAAAACGACTGACTTTTAAATCGTTGGATATAATATCATTTTAAATGAAATAAAATAATTTAAATTCATTTTGAATTATTTTAAATATTAAATAAATCATAAAATTTTGGATTATTTTAAATATTTACACAAGCATTCGTACAGAAGAACAAATAAGTTTTGACCCTTGCACAGCCGAATGAATATGTCTATTTCTATTCTTATGAAAACCAAACTTTTCTCAAGGAATGCAAAAAAAGCACAGTTATTGTAATAGTCGGGTGAAAGGACCATACAACCGAAGTGCAGAACAGATATTTAATCAAATAAATCTCCAAGCTCAAAAGATGCACCTTATGCACTCACCTGGGGAAATCATTACTCTATTTTTTGTTCGTGGTTTTACATCAGATTTCATAGCAGAAACTAGAGGTACACCGCTTTTTTCACGGTTAGATGAATAAATTTGTCGATTAGCATTCCACATTTCCTGTTCATCAGATTGTGAAGAAATTGAATTCGATAATTTTTCACTCGAGGAAATTTGAATTCCGCTAGCTAAAAATTAAATTAGCCAAATTGACTGCAACCGATCCCTACCAGATATTCGTTAAAAATTAGCGGTTTTCACTCGTTCTTTAAATGAACGGATGCTTTAAAGCTGCCTTAATGCCAAAGTAAACTGAACTCCATTTGTGCGAGTCGAAGTTTAATACTCACGTGGTAGTTCCACTAAAGTGCTGACTTGAACAATATTCCCATCTGCAGAAACAGATGAAATCGTTCTGTTGCTGGCTTTTCGCGAGCCATTTTGGTAATTCGAATTATTTACTGTATTCGGCCCGTTTGCGTTATCTTCATCTTCATCGCGTATAGCGAGAATCTAAAAAAATTACATTAGCAGAAAAAAACGCCAAAAAGCAAAAAAAAACAAAAAGGAATGTGCAAAAAAAAAATTTTTGAAGAAAAAAATTTCGTTTCTAAAAATAAATATCATTGAGGAAATGTTTTTTACGGACAACATTCATTATAACAAATCTCTAACAACTAATTTTCCATAATAAGAGAAACACAAAGGAAAAATTTGCCAATTCGGAAGTCAGAAAGATCAGTTAAAATCAGCTATGGTCAGTTAACAGTTACGCATTAGGTAATCAATGACAGAAAAGAATAAAAAATTATTAAACTGGTAGGAATTTTCATGCAGCAATAGGCAAAATTCGAATCTGAAAAAACCATAAATACTTTATGAAAGAATATCGCATATGAGTAGAAATGAAAAAATTTGATGCGAATATTTGATAAAAAGGCATTTTATCTATCAAAAAACCACAAAAATTAATATATATGAAATAGCATAATTACAAATAATATGGCAAAGAATAGGAAAGAAATATGGAAAAATCGAAGGATTTAGAAAAAAGGAAAAATAAGAAAATGAACATAGGAAAGAAATATGGAAAAATCGAACTTAAGAAAAAGGAAAAATAAGGAAATGAAAAGGAATGAACAGGAAAAACATCACAGAAAAACAATGGCAATAGGTAATATTCACTGAAATATGGACACATCGAATATAAAAAATTCTCTTAAAGAGTAAATATTATTTTTCAGCATAAACCATCGCGATCGGTCATTTTTATGCTCCATTAAATTCCTTGTGAATGAATAAGTTGGGGAAAATTCAAATATTTGAAATAAAATCGCTTTTGAGAAATAATGTAAATCAGCTTCACATGAATCCAAGCAGAACAGAAAGTTAGCGTTCACCATCTTTGGTAAAGCTCGCCCATTAGTTTTAATAAATTTTACCAGGAAGTTGCATGGGAACAGCACCACCTGCATTTTTAATGATAAATCGATTCGTGCCCGAGGCAGAGGTAGAAAACTTTAATGCCTGAGGCGATAATCTTGAAGCGACAACCACCTTACTAGCCCATCTCCAAATCCAATTAGAATAAATAGTATAATTAACAATAAGATAATAAGAAATAAGAAATATATAAATAAAATAGGTATTTTTAAAAAAAGCACTTACAGTAACAAAATCAGCGTCGCTGTTTATAATCGCCATAATTATCGAAGAATTAATTCACTTAGCATAATTATTAACTCATTTAGCTGTTATTACGTGGGATTTAATATGAAACCAGAAATTCGATCAAATCGTGCTGAATTATTAAATTTTATTGTCAAATAAAACATTGATAGGCAAAAAACGCATAAATTATGGATAGGAATTTCGATAAAAAAGATTTAAAGCCAATCGAAAAATTCGTGTCGCAATTTTATAAAAAAAAAATTTTGATTGAAAAAAAACTTTTTGAAACTGAATAAATATTTTCGAATAGAAAGAAGAATGGATTTTTGCCGTTCTCCCAATCAGTTATATGAAAAATAAAAAAACTTTCAGGAAGGAATAAAAGTGGAACTTCCGAAAGTGGCACTGTTTAAATGTAAGTAATTAACGCCCTTCTGGTTAGACTTTATGAGCTAGAAATTTTTGCCAGAGAGCCACTTGATGGTAGAAATACTAGTGAGTCGCCAGCACCATCGGATTTTTTAATAAAACTTCAAGACCGCGGGCGAACTTGGGCTCTTTTCTCTCGGTGATCGCTATTAATTCAGCCATTCTTTCCCTTAGCAAGGAATCGCGAGTGGTAATAATGCAATAATTTATATATGACAATATTAGTATTAGACCAATTTAAAAATTTCATACGAGAATATAAATACTGTTATTCTCTGGAAATATTTTAAATTATCAAAGCTAAAAAAAAAAATGAACGAGAAAAAGCAATGCTTGGGGGGAAGATTTTATTTAATTAATTAAAATAATGATAGCTGATGAACTAAAATTAAACTCCGTATCTATATAGCCGGGATTCGCTACTATATGGCTGCGAGGCATGACCAATGAGAATGGAGGATCGGATCCATTGAGCGGATAAAATATCATATGATCATTTTCACCTTCGTTCTGCCACTTGCATTAATAATGTTATCACAGAGCGCCGCCTTCGCTGATTAGGGCACATTCTCCGTCATCCACCACAAGAATTTTCGCATTTCTTTATTTGCTAAATTTGTGATGATTGGCAAAAGCGAGGTGGGCCAATCAAGACCTGGACTGATAACGGTCAGGAAAGATTTTGAACGTATAGGTGGACCAGCAATATATGGACTTAGACATGGAAAAAGGAATGGCTTCTATTACTTTAAACCTCTTTACCAAAGAATCATTTGAGGATAGAAGAATGTAAATACGCTGCATTCACAGTGAATTTAAAATTTTTAATAGTTTTGCTGTTAATTTTTCTATTATCACTATTATGAAATCGAAATTTACATTGCCGACGACCGATATGTTTCAAGATGAGATTTTATTTTTCGATTCTAGAAAATTTTCAAAAATTTCACAAATAATTAAAAAATCTGACAATTTTTCATTTTAAAATTTCATTCCGACCGGCAAGAGTGAACGTGTCATTCAAATTCGGCGCCGGCGACCTATCTGCCATCGTCATTTGATTTCTCTTAGCGAAGTCTTTCAGAGCCTTAAGAGCCAAGGCAAATGGCTTAAGAGGAACACTGATCATTCCATTTACTCCCAAATGAAATCAGTCGTTCGAATAAATTGAATTTAAAACTTCGAAACTTATCAAACTTTGCTTATTAAAGTATTTTTTCTTCTTTAAATGATTTCTATTTCTATAGAAGAATTCCACATAACGCAGAAAATACAGTTTGCAACTAATATTAAAGATTGTACGAAATCGACAAAAACCATACCACTATAAATGTAGATTTTTTTTGAATAGTGTCTATGCAGAAATTTGACGGCCGAACAAAATTTTTCATAAAAAAAAAAAGTCGGTGATTGGATAAAAATACCCTTAAAAATTATTTATCAAATTTAGTAAAGCGACAAGAAAAAATGATAAAGGAAATGATCACCTTTATATACGAATAAATCCTTAGCGCCTTAGGCAAAACCCAAAAAATGTCAAAAAAATCGTTTCAAATATTTTTTATAAAAATACGTTTATTGTGAAAATACATTTACTTTTCCCAAATTAAAATAATGCTCCTTGAAATTACGCTCAGTTGCTTAAAAATGAAATAAAAAGAATCAAAAAAACTAATAAACCAATAAATTTAATAAGGATCAATGAATTACTGCTTGGTTCACCTCACCTGAACCAAACGAACCTTTTTTTTCTAAGTATTCACCAATTTTCATTTGATTGGTTTGACTAAGTGAGTCTATGAATTTGCAACAGAGTGAAGAGAACAAACAGAATCGGCTATTTAGAATCAGCCAACCTATATTATTAATGCAAAAATCTGAAAATAGTTGGGATAAATTAAAGCGATAATTTCGGTGAATCGCAACTGAGCAGCTTTTGGGCAAAATTTAATTGCCACTTTCTTACATTTATTTTCTGAACGAATGCTGAAATTAAACAAAGGAAATCTTTCAATCACAAAAATTTCATTTCTCTTTTTGATTATAAAGATTTTTATTATTTATATTATTTTTTATTATAAAGTTTATATTATAAACTTTATATTTTTATTAAATATTTTATAAAAATAAGAAACAATAAAACAAACAATAATAAAAATAAATAATAATATAAATAATAAAAAATAAATAACTCAAAAATCGTTAAGAATAATCGAATCCAATTTCCTTTCAAAGGACGCATTTCTGGTTTCGTTGCCTCTTCACAAATAGGATGGAATTCCTTCGTAAGAGGGTACGGAAAATGAAAATGAATGATTTATAAAAAATAAACTTAGAATGGAAATTTTAGGATTTTAGTTAGGATAAATTAGGGCAATTTTTTTATAAAAAATAATATCATTAAAAATAAAGAATAAAATAGGTAGAAAAATATAAAAAATCATATAAGCATATTAAGTGAAACAAATCATAAAAAGGCTAATTATTTGGTGTTAGCATTCACCATTCGCTCTAATGACCGTACCAGTCAATTTTACAAATTCACAATAAGGAAAAAACATATCTTTTTCTTAAAATTAATTCCTCTCAGGCTACCGAACATCTCGAACCCCCAAGTTTGAATTTTGCTGCTTGATAGGAGTAAACCTATCATTAAAAAATCTATCACCAAGTAACTCTCAGGGCAGAATTTATAGCAGTTAGCTGAGCAGCCATAAACCGTTTGAGAAATTTCCACCTATTTCAGCCAATATTTTTACAACAACAAAAATAATCCGAAAAAACTGAATGAAATTTTACGTATAAATTTACGCATTAATTTTTAGATGAACGGTTACAAATATATCTGAAAAATCATAAGATTTGAGACCTCTGAGACCTCCGAAATGAGGACATGTCATTTTAAAAACCGGTTTATTTTAATGATGCTGCTCTGGTTATATTCAGTAATATTTTTTTACCTGTTTCCACTGATTATTGATAAAGATGACAACGATAAATAACTGGGATGAAATATAGAAATATTTTATGAAGAATTTCAAAGGAGGATTAGATGGAGCTTACCTCTTATCGCGAAGAAATTCTCTCTTGCACTGTTATAATTAATATGGTTTAAAAAAATTGTATTTCTCCTAAAGGCACATTTTTCATTGCCTAAACAACTCTCAGTGAAGATTCAGCTGTAATTCAGAATTCAACTTCAACTAAAACTGACAAAATAACCTAAGGCAAAAGGGTAGAATGGTAAATAAAAATGAACAATTCTAAATGATAGCCATCATCTGGTTTTTTGAAGAACAGATTTATTCCTACTGATCGTTGAATCCCAGCTCTGACACTCCGAACACCCCGAATATTCATCCCGTTCCATTTTCTTTTGTTTTCCACGTTCGGCGACATTAGCGGCCTACGAAACGAATTTATGGAACTCAGAGTGGTGCGCACCAACGGTTTGGAGGAACTATAACATCGTCATTGTTATGGCATTTTGTTCAAATTTGTTTATTTACATATCCCATCTAATAGTTGTTAATCGACAATTGTAAGTGCAAAACGAATGTCAATATTGTGTAAAAAAGTGACATTTACAACATTTCCACACTTCCTGGCAATTCTCGAAATTTGAAAAAAATTTTTTTTTGCAGAGAATATTCTCAAAGCAATTATTATTGAAATATGGGTGAAACTTATTTCAGAAAATGTCAAAAACTCTAAAAGTAAAATAATAATCCATGCAAAAATACGCCACTGAAAAGTATAAATCGTTTTCATCCACGAATTGTCAAAAAGGGATTTTATTTCATCCAATGGTAATTATAATTTAGAATAATATATTAATTGATAGCTGAATATCGGCCAAAATTTTCGATTTTAATTCGTTGATAAATGATTCACTAGTTTTGGTTAGAATGCTTTCAGTGGTTCTTAATACGATAAGAAATTGCAATCGGAAGCCACAAGGGAAGAGAAGCATAAGTGTAGTGGCAGTGCTCGGAAGGTTCACGCGAGCCTCGCCTCGATTTTCTGTTTCGGCAATCAGCTATAAAAATAACGGCGATTATTATATTTTTATTTTTAACAATTAAATAACAATTGAAACCTTTTATTCGCTCCATTAACTTTACAATACAAATTATTTGGAGAGTTTTTCTTCGAATTTGATTGGAAAAAATTTGTATGGAAGCAATTGGCGGATGGTGATTAGAAGATTAAATGATAATAAAACTGAGCAAAATTGTGTGAGAAACTGTGAAAGTGTAATATTTGTTAAAACAACAGAAAAAAATATGTATTTGAGTCAGCAAATGATGCTTCCTTGCTTGCTAATAAGGCGAATTTAATCGGTGATATTAAATAAAGCATTTATAAAAGATCCGCAAATTGAGATGGATTGCCACGACTAATTTAAGGCTATTATGCGAGACAAATCTAAGGCTCTAAAGGCTTTAAGGCCCAAGGATTTACATGAACCAGTGGCCATAAACCCAATAAAATATACTTTAAAATATAAAATAAAAATGATGAGTTGCGATAATCGATTAGTCAACAAATATTTATAAAAAAGTTAAAATTTTGGCATCGAACCGAGAGGCTTGGAAACTGCTTAGCAGCCTAAGTATAAAAAGCAATGCCGTTAGAAAAAAATCCAAAAGCAAATATCGTTATTTGGAATGAAATTGGAATGTCAGCTAAAATTATACGTCACGAGATATAATAGAAAGATTTAAGCCGAATAAAAAGAAAATTGGGAAATTACAAAAAATTATAATTTTGGCAATACTGCTCCTCTAAACGAATCTTATAACAATAAGTAGTTTTATTCGATTAGAATTATTTATTGGTCGATGAATGACAGGACGGACGCATAACGAAATTATTAATCCATTAAGATAATTGTGATAATATTTGAGATTCATTGACGGTAAATAATAACAATAGAGACGAAAAGAAATTCGAGGGATTGGTTGATGATAAACAACTGATAGATGATGACTTACAACTGATTAAGGGTTCATAGACCATCATGAACTAGTAGTGTTAATAATTTACACTTGTTGAATGCATACACTTGTTAGCTTTTCTATCCTCAGCTTATAAAACTAATACATACTTGAGTAAAAAGCATCCACACCAAACGAACGAAACGATCAGCATTTCTAATATAGCTGGTTGGGTTCACTATTAAGTGTGACCATTTGGCCAGAGAACCACTCAGGGAGAAAAAAATAATATCTTCGCTACAATCCGCGTTGCCTTCAATAAAGAGTCAAGCGATCGATTCCAGAAGCCACCCTCTCATCCTACTGCCATATGAATTCGAAAGGACACAAGGACTAACAGGAATTTAAATAATTACGAAAATTACTAAAGTTTACAAAAAAGTGCCAACAAGTAAATTTAACATTTAGATAATTGAAATTTGGAATGCTTTATATATACGAAGCAAAAATAAATTTCTTTATATCCCCTAATTTCGATATTAAATATTGTAAAAATTAAAATTAAAAAGATTTGTAACAATATTTATCTAAAATTTTAACCTTAAATTTCCTAAACTGTTTGCAGAACTAATGAAGAGAGAGCCTAAGCCTAAGGCAAGCGAAGCGGAGCCAAGAGATTTATAAAGGGACAAGAAATATAAAAGAAAATGCAATAAAGTGATTTAAAAAGCATAATAAATAAATAAAAATTGGACCAAACAATTATTTAAAAAAATGAAGATTTAAAAATCGTTGGAATAAAAACTTTGAGAAAATATGCGATAAAAATGCTAGATGGTAGCAAAAGGGGCAAAATAGCCGAGTGGATGGCGACTCAGATTACTGAGACCGTTGAGACGAAATGGCCTAGCCGCAAGCTCGCCATCCGCCTGTACGCCTTACATCGAGTGAAACACTCACAAAAATTTCTAACCAACGGAGAGTCATATGAGTTTGCCTATGAAGAAATGGTCATTTACTAAATCACTTATATTTTATACAAAATTAAAATAAAACTTTTATTAAAATTATTAAAAATTAAAAAAATAATTTAAGAAATTATTAGAAATTAAATATTTAGAAAAAAATAAATTAAATCGACTTCAATTGGATTTATTAAATATTGTTTCATTATAATGCAAAAAAACTCGAAAAAATCTGTGAATAATATAAATAAAAAACTTTAAAATTCGAAAAAAATTGTAAATAATCATACAAATAATTATAAAAATCGAATTGCTTAAAAAATAACTGAAAATGAAGTTTTTCGTCGTTTTCGAAACAACGAAATAGGCCAAAGATTCTTATCACTTATCATAATTATCACGGTGATAAAAAATCTTTTACTGTGAAATCTAAGAGATATTACTGAACCAACGAACGGTCAACTTCGATCATTCGACCACTCTCTCTCAGTTGAAAGTATTCCATTTTGATAAACTGATAAGGCAAAAGCATAAGAAGACAGCGGAAATTTTTTATTTTATATTTTTTAAAATTATTTGAAGGACGAAATGATTGAAAATCGATGATGCGAATGCATGTGGGCGCTGCTAGGTGCTGTTCGCCGAGAATCTATTCATCATATAAATAGTTGCACGCCGACGTCGTCCTCGTCGTCGTTGTCGCATACCTGTCACCGCAGTATTTGTGTCGCAGTTGCTTCTCACCTACCCTCAGTATTGCTTCTCTCTTCCATTTTTTCCTACCCTTCTAAATTTTTTACCCAATCTTTCAGTTAGAATATTCCCATTGGCGAAAAAAATTAACTGCGATCGAATAAATTATCAAAAAAAAGGAGAAAAAAATTGACGAACGATGATTATTTACATGTTCACAATGGAAGTTTTATTTGATACAAAAATGTTTGATTACTATCGATTCGGAAAATGGAAGAAAGTCGAATTTGAAAGGTCAAATAAACGCCAAATTCAATCGATCAATTGACATAGAAAATCAATATTTGATGAAAGGTCATGCAAAATTTTCCTATAAAGGCAACAGGTCAATAAATAAGGTTTACTGATCGGCTTAAAAACTAAAACTTGAAAAACTAATCAAAAATTCGCAAGGAAAATAGAAATTCGTTAGAATTACAGTAATCGTCTCGCATATATAAAGGAATACGGAAGAACGTTAAATTAAATCTCCGAATAGTAAAAATAAAAAGTTCATCGCCCACATTTGATTTGCCAGTACGGAAGAGGGAGGGAATTAAAAGAGAAATGCAAGGTGGTCGAATCGGAAGGTGAAAACGAGTAAGTGCCTCGAGCTCGGGCAACTAGTACGGTCAGGAATTTTGCCAGGTCGTCAGCAAACACCCAACAAATAAACTTACTGCAATTATTGGAACCATTCAACGTCGGCCTTGTATGAGGTCAGAGTTGAGTTTTAGCGCAGTAAGCGAAGGAGAATTTTCTTCGAAATTTCTCCATATCCTCTTTTAATAGCGATTTTATTCGCGCTCGAGAATAATTTTTAGAAAATTTCAGCATAGTTTTTTGTAGCTCGATCTACGACTTATTGCGATAGGGAACTTTCACCAAGGATTCACTTGGTGAAGAGGTGCAAGTTGGTCACCAACACCAAACCGATTTGGCTAATATGATTTCTAACTTCTTTTTTTTTTTAAAAGTGCAGAGAACGAACCATATGAACCTTGACAGAGCAATGCACACAATTCGTCTACGCTTTAAAAAATTAGATTTTTAAAAATTTAGAATTTTCATGGTTTTTGGAAGTGTGAAAAGAATTGCGATTAAAGCGATATTTGGAACTGTGAAAGATAAACTGGGGGAGCGATAACCGAGTAGTTGGTCGCTTCGACCGTCTTCAAACTATCGTACGTTTGATTTCTATTGCTTGAGAGATTCATCTAAAATAAATTGAATACAACCCGAATTGTGCAGCGGATCCAGTGTTATCTTTATCTTCGCCACAGATTAATGTTTATGCTAATTTGAAAAACGGCAGGAAAAACAAAACATAAATATTGAGCTGTAATATCTGAAATATTCAAATATTGTTCTTAAGACGAAAATAAATTTCAGGCTTTATACGCTCAATAAATTTAAATTTTTTTTATAAGCGAAATTAATTCGGCTGTCAGTTAATTTGTCGGGGTTGTGGGTGGTTTTCCAGGTCTTTGGCTTATATCTTTGTAGTTCCAACAAGGAGCCATCCTGTAGCATAAATTCGTAATTCCAGAGTTTAACGTAAGAGGCGAAAGTATTTGAGAATAACTTATAGTCAGAGGAAAGCATAGAAGAATTTAAGAAAACATGTTTAGCGGCATTACGTCATATTTTTGATAAAGTACAAGGAAAGTAGTGGTTTTTTTCGTGTTTTGCTTTTAATATAGCAAAAATTATTTTTAAAATTAATGTGGTATGTTTCAGGTTTTGAAGGATATTCGCTTAAAATATTCGAGTCGTTTCGTAGGTTTGGAAATTGTTAAAAATGGCTGACATGAAAGCATTGCCAGTCTTTGCTTTCACCGAAGAACGCGTTCAAATCGAACAGCTGCGAGCTTTTTTAAATGAACGTGGAGCATCTTTGGATCTTGAAGGTTAATTTTTTAGTTTGCACGGATTTTTTTTTTAATTTCATTTCTTTTCATTTTTGGAGGCGATTCTCTTTTTTAATACTATATATTCGAGATTTTTATTCAAGCCTAACTATCTGAATTATCTATTATGACATTCATAATGCAAGAAGGATTTAAAAAACACTCAGCGTTGCCACTTAGACTCTCTCTGCTAGCTAGTCGGACTGGACAAATACTCTAAGGAGTCCATTGCTGATAGAATACAAGTGAATCGCCAAGGTAACGTGGATTTTTAGACAGTTTTACTCCTGCCGGAAACCTCAGTGTCCGCGGCCCAAGTTGAGCAACAATCCACTCAACTATTTTGCCCTCTTCTTTCTTTAGCCGTTAGGCGATACTAGTACCTGACGAAAAATGGCGAGATTCAAGCCCAATTCTCACTGGCAATTATCTTCTCATTGAATCATTGAATCACTGAACTGACGTAAAAAAATTTGGAAGACTTGCTTCACGACTTTGAATGTTATTCTTGCATAGGGACCATGCTAATGTTCTCTGTATTGTTCCAATTTTAGTACATTCATCGGAATTCATCGTAAAAAAAAAAAAAATTAAGTCGATTGATGTCAACAAAAATTTCAAAAGATTCTTAAAGGATGGCGAAATATCATCGCTTGCAATCGCTTGCAATTAAGGCTCTAATTTTATTTTTATCAAGTTGTAAAACTTATATGATATATTGATGCAAGCCTTTATATTGTGATTGATAGAACATTAATTTTATCCCTTTTTTTGCTTTTCTTTTTTTTATTAATCATCCGTTTAAGTGCCTTTTAGCAAAAATAAATGTTTCCAGGGCCACCCGAAATTGAAGCAAATTTGCTTGAACTTGTTAGTGGTATTGGTGTTGTCGGTGATTTGGAAAGCGATAAAGAAGTTGAAATGGTGTTAAGCTCGGTTTCTTCCTTGATGGTTGTTCTTAGCTCTGAACAAGCTATAGATGTTGTTGATGAGTTTTGTAAGCAAGTATCGTCCGAGAAATATCAAGGGATTGGGTGGCCTTCTAATGTAAATTTTTTTTTGAATTCGCATTTCGTTAGTTTTTCAACTCTATTTTGCTAGCTGCGAATCTTTCTTTAGATTATGCTTCTCAAAAACAATTATTTATTAATTGTTTCTTATTTATTAATTATTTAATATCAAGGGATATTTAATATCGAGGAATATAGGGTTATTTAATATCAAGGGAAATATCAAGGGATTGGGTGGCCTTCTAATGTAAATTTTTTTTTGAATTCGCTTTTCGTTAGTTTTTCAACTCTATTTTGCTAGCTGCGAATCTTTCTTTAGATTATGCTTCTCAAAAACAATTATTTATTAATTATTTCTTTTATTTTCAGGCTGGTGCAGCTGTACGAATTCTTTCTAATCTTTTCCATGCTTTTAATAAACATCCACGCGTGCAGCATTCTGTTTTTGTTGCTTTGGTGGTACTTTGTGGCCGAGCTCGTCTTATTGGCGATTTGGATACTAGTACAGAACAACTTAATGAATATTTCAAGAAATGGTCATTACAAACGGAACAAAAACGTAGCCTTCTTAGGCTTATACATGGTGCTTTGATTAATGATGGAAGATCAGATCAGGCCGCAAAAGTGCGTTTTGGTATTCAGATATTCTGCTTAAAATCTCGCTGTTAAAATTTCTCTATGGCTTATTTATTTATCGAAATAAATATAAATTAAATTAAACTTTCGTCTTTCATATTAATTCTTCTACATATTATTTCAGACCATGACTGCACTTTTGGGAACATATACGGACTCTGATGCAGCTTCCGCTATTGAAGATGGCCGTGAATGTGTACGAACTGCTATAGTGGATCCAAAATCTTTTAGCTTCGATCATTTATTGAGATTGCCTGCAGTAAAATTATTACAAAAGGTTTCATTTTCTTTTCTATTCTTTTGAAATATTTCTTTTTTATTCCAGCCTTTTATGATTCTTATTCATTTTAGACAGATTCAACAATGTACAATGTTCTCATTTTGTTTAGCCAAGGTACACTGAGCGATTATCGTAAGTTTGTAAAGGAACATCCAAATTTTGTTCGTGAAAAATTGCGAGTCGATGAGGCAGTATTAGTGAAAAAAATACGATTGTTGACATTGATGAGTATGGCTGAAAAGAATAGCGTATGATCTACTCTATTTATTTATTTATTGCATTTAAATGCTACGAGTCTCAGTTTAATTTGAAAATTTTTCCATTGAAATTAATCTGATTTCTCAAGAAATAAATTTCTAATTTTATTATTTCTAATTTTATTATTCATAATCATTATTTGAGTGGAATGTGCAGCATTATGCACTTATGTCCGAAATTTGCGAAATCGATCTTTCTTGATCGTTTCATAATTCAATCATTGTATTTCAGACGATATTGCTGAGTGATTTATCAAAAGAACTGGATATATCTGATGATGAACTCGAGGAGTTTATAATTGAAGCAATTCAAGTTAATGCCATTACAGTGAGTTTTTTACCATAATGAATTATTTGCCTTTAATTCATTTTTATAAATGTATATTTATCGTTTATGGTTTGACTTGTTTGATAGGATGAGGCCATTTCATCAGCGAGTTTTTTGGAGATATAAATACATAAATGGAGTTGATACCATCATACATCCATGGCCGAATCGATGTTTCATTTGTCCATCCTGTTGAAATTTCTTTTTGGTCCAATTTTGCAAAAAAAAATTACACCCCAAAATGTAACGATTAATTTTTGTGACATTTCCTTTATAAAACTACTTAAATGCCATTTTAAAATCATTTCTTTAAATTTTAAATTTTAAATTTTAAATTTTAAAGTGCATTTCCTGAAATAATTTAAAAATTTTTTTAAATTTAGGGCAAAATAAATGGCGTAAGACGAGAGTTAAACGTTTCGTCATTGCAGCCGCGTTGTTTTGGTCGTGAACAATGGGAGCTTCTGCAAAAAAGATTGGTAAAGCTCATTAATGATCTGGCTGAATGTCATGAAAATATTAAACTCATTCAGTTTGAAAAGGTTTGAATAATATTTGCTGGCTAAATGTATTTGTGTATTTATTATCTTCGATATTTTCATAATAATTGTTAATTGTTACATTTTGGGATTGTAATTTTTTTTGCAAAATTGGACTATGAATTTGGTTTATACTTGTTTTATCTTTAAGTTTATTATATTGAAAAAGTTTGAACATTGTGAAATGTTTTTGTTTGGAACTTTATTCCATTATTTTTAGTTGATTTAATGCTTATTATTGAATATTTGATTTATTGGTATAGTAATTATATTTGATTTCACTGTTATATGATAAGATAAATTTATTTTCTTTATCATGAAATACATTTCGTATGCGTTGTTCATTCAATATCTTTTCTTATTTTTATTATTAAATTTTATAACCAAAAATCTTCAGCCAAAATAAATAGTTGAAGTAGTTCTTTAATTTTAGTCATGAGAGGCAAGAAATAATTCAGCCGTAAAAATACGCGATTGAAGTTTATTAAGTTTATTAAGATGAAGATTATTAAGATTTTTTTGAATAATCATATTGTATAATTTTCTTTTAAAAATCTGAAATTTCTAATAATAAATATATATTATATGAAGTGAAGTGGTAATTGTGTTTTATTATAGTTTGTGGTATTTTTATGGTAAAAGACAATGTCGGGTAATGAAATGAGGCCTACCAATTCATCTAACGAAGAACACCAACAGCAACATATTGATCTTGACCAAGTATACCAGTGGATATTAGATCTTGGGGATCCTAGAAAAAGAGAAAATGCACTCCTGGAATTAAGGTATTTTGTTGGCATTAAATTCTGGGGTTAATCTGAAATATTTTCGAGGATTCCGAAGATTTTCACTTCAAAGCAATGATTTAGCAATATATGCGCGATAATATACCAGATGGGGCGTAAAATCAAGAGATTTAAAAATTTCTAAGTCGAAATGAGTCGAAAAAGTCATTTGCTGCTGTTTTATTTATTTTTCGAGTTGATTTGCCGTATGAAATAATATTCTTTTACAATTTGTAGTAGGAGGCGTGATGTTGTGCCAGACCTACCACTATGGCTTTGGTATTCAACTGGCTCTATGGTTGCACTTGTCATAGAAGTGATATCAATATATCCTGCAATAGTTCCTCCAACTCTTACAGCACAGCAGTCTAATCGTGTTTGTAATGCTCTTGCACTTATGCAGTGTGTTGCCTCTCATAGGGAAACTCGTGCACAATTTCTTGCAGGTTTGTATTTTCCATATTTTCTCTATTGGGCGCACATTTTGCGAATACTTTGCAATATTTGAAAGAGGTTTTCAGCCAAATATCCAGTTAAATTTCCATATCAAATTTCCACATTCAAATTTCCATATTAAATTTGGGGTAATTTGGGAGGAAAAGAGGATTTAAATTTTTGAACGCTTAGATTTTAATAAATTACTAATAAAATTAATAAATTTGATACTTGATTAAAAGAGTTCTGATTAATTGCTTCATTTATGTAAAGAAATTTTTCCCATTATTTTTAACTAATCAAGTCTGTAAATTGAGTAAAAAATTTCTTTAATTTCATTTCATTAAAATCAATTTTTGATTAGAAAAATACTTCGCTTTTTATTCCAAAAACTTGCTTTTTATTTTTTTTTAGCCATTGTATGAATTCACTTAATCGCTTTTTGATTTACATATTTTATAGCTCATGTTCCGCTATTTTTATATCCGTTTTTGCACACAACAGCTGATACGAGACCATTCGAATTTTTGAGGCTTACATCACTCGGAGTTATTGGTGCTCTTGTCAAAGCTGATGAACAGGTTGGAAGTAGCTTTTTAATAAGAAATATTTTGTAAGAAATAAGAAATGATTAGGGATTAATATACATTTTGGGAATCTTTCTTCTTGAATATTGAATGTTTTGAATAAAATTCAGGAAGTAATTCAATTTTTGTTGTCGACGGAAATTATACCATTGTGTCTTCAAATTATGAGTTCTGGTACGGAACTATCGAAGACAGTAGCAACTTTTATACTGCAGAAAGTGCTTTTAGACGACAACGGATTGGCTTATGTTTGTCAGACATATGAACGTTTTTCTCACGTCGCTATGATTTTGGTATATAATTATAAATAATAAATTCTCATAAATTCTCATAAATTATAAATAATATTTTGTATTTTTAAAAAATTTCATTAAGAAAACTCCTAAATTTTAGAATAAGTTTCGAAAATCTTGTTTTGGATTATGCAAAAAATATGAAATATGAAGAAAATAATATAAAAGTAAAAAATATAAAAGTTAGAAAAGCTCATTATTCAATCCTCAAAATATAATTTTCAGAAATTTTTTTTTAAATTTTTAAATTTTTGTTTTAAATTTTAGTTCTTTCTGTTCTACTTTCTGTTTTTCTTCGCTTCGTTTTAATATGGTTATTTTATAATTTTTTCTATTTTAGGGAAAAATGGTGATACAGCTGGCTAAAGAACAATCTCCACGTCTTCTTAAACATGCAGTACGTTGTTATAATCGCCTTTCAGATAATCCACGGTTCTTCTTTTTTTATAATTCATTAGTAAAATAAAAATTGAGTTTTTAGCAAAACTATTGCTCGAAGATTCTTTGATTCTCTTTGTTTTTCTTTTTTTTTAAAAAAAATGTTGATAAGCATTTATAATGATAAAAGAAAAAAAAAACATGATTTTATTCAAATTGATATTTATGCTTTCGGGAAAAAAATTTTAATTACGGATGATTACAGTTTTTAAATTTTCATCAGTTATGTTCATTATTTAGCGCTTTACAAGCATTAAGACAGTGTCTCCCTGACCAGCTGAAGGATGGCACTTTCAACCGAATAATGGATCAGGACAAGTCTACACGACATTGGCTCAAGCAGTTGCTGAAGAATATTGGTCTGTTTTTTATTTTTGGTAAACTTAGTGTTGTTGTTAGGTTTTTTTATTTTTTATTGAAAATTTTTCTTTTACAGGTCTGGCCAGTGATTACGACGGTATTATATAACCGATGAAATATTTAATTATTAAAATCCACTTTCTTATCAACCAGTTTTTTTTTCGAAATTTCGCTTTTATTGAGCTCTCTTAATAATTCGATTAATGGTAATGGTAAGCCTACGCTTGTTCATTTTTGATATCGCCTGCACTCCATAGGAGTTAACATGATATTTTTTTACGGTTAGCTTAGGAGAAATTTAGGGAACTTGAATGTATTTACTAAAATACAGTATAACAATACATATTTGTTCATTTTTACTCTGTATGTTTATTTTGAATTTACGAGTTATATTTGTGGGTATATAATTTTAATTAAGAATTTGTAATTTTTTTCGTGATTTATGTGTGTTTTTTTACAATCCCTTTAAAATAATTTGAAATACTATTTGAGGCCAAAAATTGGAACCGGTCAATTTCAGTATCTATTCATGTTTTGAACATTCAATAAAATTTCAATTTTAATTTGCATCTAGTATGGAGCAGTCATATTAGCAAATTCCTATTACTGTCCGGTCAATGTGCTAATGTACTAGTTATCCATAAATATTAAAGAAGTTTATCGCTTATGAATTAAGTAATTAAATTTAATGGATGAAGCAGAAAGAAATCCGGTTTGCAAAAGGATGAATTGCTACTTTTTATTTGCACCATTCACTGTTTCTTCACTGGCTGTTAGGAAGAGTAACTTGGATATAGCAGTAATAAGGACCTAAAGGCCTTTTATTTGATTATTAATGGCGAGATTTGTCACCCATCTTAAGGCTTAACTGCAGTGCTTAAGCTGGCAGTCAAAGCAATATTCCACTCGTCCGTACTGCTTCCAAATCTATTGTGGTTTCATACCAATTGTTTCCTAATTTCGTAACATAAACATTTTAAATACTCGAAGAAAGAATTAAATCGTAATTTTTAAAATAAATGATTTTTTAAATATCCAAGCTGTTTTCAAATAATATTGCATGCAAGTCAGGAATGCTTTAAAATATTTGAAAACATTGTATGTTTGTTTTTGGCCAAAGGAACAGTTCATTCTAATCGTAAATTTTCTTTATATTATTTGAACTGAAGAAAAAACTGAAAACTTAATAAATTTAGAAATCTTTAAATAGATCGTGACGAATTAATAAGATTTCAGACAGATCAAATATTCGTTAAATTTAACAGTGGAGGCTGGTGAAATTCAGCAGATTAATCTAGCGCGGTACATCTTCGAATATTGCTGAGGAGTCACCCTGTACTTCAATTTCAAAATGAACTCTCTAGTGAGAGAGTTTCACTAACGATAGTCAATGAAGCCAAGTAAATTAGAAATGGTGAGTATTGTAAAAGGAAAAAAAAAACACGGCGCTTTTTAAGAAATTATTTAAAATATATAAAAAATTTTTCTAACAGCTCTCACCATTACTGGTTAGGTTGGCTGCGTTGGCTATAGGGGGTAAGGCAGTTTTCATGTTCTTCTCAAGTTCTTCGATCCGATGCCATCTTGACATTAGAAACCATTCCTTTTTCCATCGTCTAAGTCCATATATCGCTGGGACCCTTTACGTTCAAAATCTTTCCCAACTGTGTCAGTCCAAGTCTTGATTGGTTGTTCCCGCTTTTGACGCCATCCATCAGGGTTTAGCAAATAACGAAATATGTGGCAACTCATAAAATAAAATTAAAAACAAACAATTAAAAAATAAGAAAATAAGGCGAACCATAAGGTTTAAATTTGAGAAAATATTCCAATCTTTGAGTAAAGTTTGATAAAAAACGAAGTGGAATATTGTTTGTCCCATCAATTATCAATTCGATAAATAGAGAAATATATAAATTTTGTCGATTATATCGCTGATTTTTCATATCTTTGAGGTCAATTCGCCAGTTCATCGTTATATTCGTTTGTTCGTGTTTGTGTGCTGGGTAATGTGTGCATCAGCTGCAACATTTTTATTGCACCGTTGAGAACTGTTATATTCCCCTTCCGATCTACTATATTTTCTTAAATTCTACTATAAAAACCCGTCGGACGCCTCTCTTCTCTCTCCCCTCCTCACCATTTGGTACATTTGCTTTGTGTCAAAATTCATCGTTCTATTTTATATCAACGTATTACTATTGTACAATAGCAAAATAATGCTTCCTTAAAATGCACGTTACACATTATCAGAACCTAATCATTGATTGCGTTAAGATTGTCCATTGTCCGTTAACACTGCCAATTTCGTTTTGTTTATTTAATGCCCTTTTAAATCTCATTTTAACCTTTTGCCCGTTACTAAACTCCCTGCAATGCTTTGTACACCTCGTGCTCTCTTGAAGCCCTCTCAAGTCTTTCCAATATGCAATAAGTAATAAGCACTCACCATTTTTGGTTGTGATCATTCCACTGACTAGTAGTAGAATTAATTTTACCTGATGAAGAATCTGTTGAAATTAGAAGCGGTTCGCGAATCACTTGCATTGCCCGAATTTAATAGCAGATTTACCACTGGCAGATGCCGAATCACGAGGATTGGAGGGAATGGTAATCTAAGCAATACACAACGAGCCCTACTTCCTATCCGTTGAATTCTCTACACTCTTTTCTCTCTATGAACTCTTTTGTGCTTTTTTGTCCTAGATAATATTGCTCGAGTTTCGCTACACTTCTCATAATGCTCTTCAGGCCATTTTAGGTCTCAGCATAGTTCCATTTTTCTTTCTTTAAGCCCTTCCTCCCTATATTTCTTTTTCAATAACCTTTAAGGTCGTGCTGTCACATTCATTTAGTAATACCTCTGGGACGCGCAGTTTATTTGTTTTTTTGCACAAATCGTTTTTTAATCGAAGCGTCTGAACTTGGTTGAATTTGGCCTAGGTTCCCCATAAATTCTATTTGCCTGTGTTGTTTGTCTTTCCCATGTTATCCCTTTTTCCCCTTTTCTTTCTCTCTCCCTCGTTACGTTTGGTTTATTTGTTATATTAATATGATTTGTTATATATCCATCGGAATGCTAATTCGTGACTGGGATTTGTGTCAGAAATGTTTCCAATATTTCATTCATTTATTCATTCATTCTTCCATTCATTCTTTCGAGAGACCAGGAATAGTTCAAAATTTTGCTCAACAATGGTTAACTTTACGTTTTCTTTTTTTTCATCGAATTCAATTCTCTTCATTCATTTAATTTAAAATTTAATTCGAGAATTTGCACAATTATGCGATTTCCTTTTTTCTCCGAAAATTTATAATTTTAATTTGAATGTGGTAATTTATAATTTATTTAATACGATTAATGTGTTTTATAATTTTTTTTTCGTTTTATGATAAATATAAATTTAAAGGAATTAAAAGAAATTATTTATCACAAATTGGTATTTTAGCCTTTTTGCCTAAATTAGATAAATCCAAGCCATTCACTCACAATTGTATTAATTTCTTCCAAATACATTTATTCACCTTCAAATAGCGATGCATATTTCTCGTTTGGCGACCACTACCTTCGCTAATTTATTTATTGGCGTGGAAGCGTTCACGGGAGAGTCGCTCACACTTTGAAGATCGCGAAATTTATAAAATTATTAAATTTCGTTTTTTACTTAATACGATTAATTTTTTATAATTTTTTTGTTCTGTGGTAAATAATTGTTCATATTTTTGTGCCATACCGTTCGAGCATTTTGTCCTAATTATGCAAGTAGGGGGCAGATTAGCCGAGTGACAACGTTTGTATCGTGTCGGGGTTCATCGTCTCCTCCACATCGGATCCAGAAATGCGGCTTTCGCTCAAATGCGGCTTCTTTTGATTTCATGTCAATTCTATATTGATTCAAAGTGATTTTTTTTTAGTTGGCAGGTTTTTCATATTCTTCGATTATTAATTTTCTAAATTTTATTTTTTTATTTTTCTTTTTTATTTTTTTATTTTTCTAAATTTTATTTATTTTTTAAAAATTTGAAAAATTAAAATATAATTAAAATATAATTTTGTTTTCTCGCGACAATGACGAATCTGAGAATAAACTTTATTATTCGAAATGAAAACCATTGGTCTCTCCAAATTTTCCTCAACGCGGTGCATTTTATTTGTTCCGTAGAATTACGTAGAATTTTGAAAGCGAACGCGATCCTCTCGCTGAAGAATTTTCTTTCCTTGCAAGAAGCCGTCGAGATGTTCGAAAAAATGGTAGGCGAGAGATCTGATAGATGGCTATTGTGGATAAGGCAAACTTCCGCAGCCTAATTCATTCGGTTTCTGCTGCTTGGATGGATTGCGCTTTTTTGTTAAATGTTTAGGTATAAACATTTCTGGCGCATTTTATTGGTCCGCGGTAGTATTTCTTCGCTGTGACCATTTCGCTAGGATTTCCGCTAGGATGCAAGTTTTTGTGGACTGATTCGACGTCAAATCAGCAAACTGTTGCAGTTATCTTTTATATAATATCAACTTTGCGAATCTCAATTTAGGAGTTTCGTCCGGGCTCAGCCAGTACTGCTCTAAACGTCGGATGTCATGTCACATAAGATCATTGTTCCCGTCACCACTGTATTGCATCACCATGAAATGGGTCGTTTTTGTTGGGTCGCTAAACAAACGCTTTATAAAGGCTATTTTCGTTGATAAACGACATTCACTTGTCGACAGGGTTTTTTTGACCTTTCATTTCAGCTCATATGTTCCAATAGTTAGCTGTCCGAGCCTGCGAGTTGTGTGGCTTTCTTACGTAAGGGCCTTCAATTGGTCGTACTCAGCGGCAGAAGGACATCTGCCAGATTTCTTGTCTTCGAGGCTGAATTTACCACTACCGAATTTTTCACTAAACCACTACATTATTCTTTTGTTGTCATTTTTTTGCCACTTCGTTAATCCTCCATTCGCACCATGGCCAAGTTAAAATTCTTCGAAGTAAATTTGGCTGAATTCCTACTTTGATATATTTATTTCTAAAGTAAAAAATGAACAGAGCTGTGAAACATATTAAAATCGATTACGCGAAAAGAAAGAGCATAAAATAAATTATTTATTTTATTAATTAATAATTTCTTATTATTAAAAAATTAGAGTAAAAAATTAAAGAAATTTTTATCGAATCTAACAAGTTTGGAGAAATGTTTGGAGAAATTATTGCATTGCGTAAATATTTAGGTTTAGGAAAATTCAGAATTCGTAGTGCTTCGCGGAGACGAATGGTTCGCCAGCACGACTCGTTCGATGAGAAGTCAACTTGCTTCGGGCAACAGAAGTCGAAACCCTCGCTTCGTCGCCCCGCGCGATATTCGCCGTCCATTCGGCTATTCTTTCCTTTTTTTAGTGAAAATAGAGAATGAAAATGGAAAAGAAAAGCGAACGTGTAAAATAGTTAAATACTGAAATTTTTTTTGCCAGTTTAAAGCGTTTTGTTCGTTTTGTAATTTTTTTCTCACTTATTGTTCCTTATTTCTCATTTCCTCGTCTTTCTAACTGGAAAATTCCTTTTTTCGAGACTTTTTAATTCGCTTTTAATTTATTTTCGATTATTTATCTTTCAAATTTTTTTACTTTTACTGGAATGAATCGATAGATTTTTAATAGCGCACATTAACTAATTCATTAAATAAATAAAAATATCACTTGTAAGGCCAATTGGCACATCGCATGATTTCTTCAGTCAAGCAAAATCGAACATGTTAGCCAAGCGAACAAGACTGCACTCAATGGAGGAGCTTAATTATTCATTGCGGTGTCACAGACCTGGTCGATTGGCGGGTTTGGTTCCACGGTTTTAGTATTCATTATTTACTGTTGATAAAATATTATTTGGCGTTGTTTCGCAAAAGTTTTCGCTAAATAAATTTCATATCTTCTGAGTTTTAGCATTTTTTTCCATTGCTCTAAAGCTGCCATGGCGAGTTCAGAAATAAGAGAAATGGCACAATCAACTGAAGAACAACAGTACACAGATGTTAACCAGGTTCATCAGTGGATATTGGATCTTATTGATCCCATAAAAAGAGAAAACGCACTTCTTGAACTGAGGTATACTTTTGATAAATCGTAAATTAAAATTTTATAATTTAGTTGTGTCGTCAGGGAATTGTCAAAATTTCGCATATTTTATTATTCAAACGCTTGTAACTCTCTTACGAAACTCTCCATTTTCATTCTAAATCAGAAGAGATTAAGCTAGCGAGAAGCGTTCGCTGCTAACCACTGTTTAACTTACTTATTAACTGTGTTGTGCTTAAATTAATGAATTAAGCGAAAATTTATATATACATACATATAGTAAAGAAAAATTTTAAATCTTGCCATAATCGCTTCAGATATTTGCAGTAAGAGACGCAATGTTGTGCCGGATTTGGCCGTTTGGCTTTGGTATACATCTGGTTCTATGGCTGCACTTATATTAGAATTAATAACGATATATCCAACGATAACAACGCCAACTCTAACCGTACGGCAGTCAAATCGTGCATGCAATGCTCTTGCGCTCATGCAGTGTGTTGCATCTCATAGAGAAACTGCAATTCATTTTCTTGCCGGTTTAAATTTTTATTAATTTAATATTCTTTTGAAAAGTTTGAATGCCTTCTAAACGATAAGTGGATAGATTTTTATAGGTATTCTAACATTATTTTTTGTTAATATAATTTATATCGATAGTATTAACTATTATTGTTAGTATTACTGATACTATTATTTAATATTTATTATTATTGTTATTATTTATTATTGTCATAAAATTTTTTTTGTGATCGCGTTTTTATTCGCCATTTAAAAGTGTTAATTATTATAGCACATATTCCGCTATTTTTATTCCCGTTTTTGCACACAACATCTGAAAGCAGGCCGTACGAATTTTTGAGACTCACATCACTCGGAGTGATAGGTGCTCTCGTCAAAACTGACGAACAGGTAATAAAAAACAAATATCAAAATATTAATTTCATCCACATCAAAATATTAAGGTTTTTTTTACGATAGTTACTTAGTTTTTTTCTTATTATGAATTTTTATTATTTGTTATTTTAACTATTGTTATTGATAGAAGCACATGGCGTTGTCCTGCTTGGCTGGTTTTCAATATATAAATAAAGTTTTATAGCGATTCTTCTAACAATATTTACCATTTCTGTTTGCTTTATCTTCCTCTCCGCTAGCGTAAAATATTTGCGTCCAGGTTCATATAAGTAAAAATTAAGAGGAAACCCGACTGATTGTAACCAGACTTCTCTTTTAATGACATTTATTGTCGGACAAAGGGAGGTTCAAATCCACGCAAATCCTTAGCTTCTCTTGAAATGATGTAAAAGTCATTTTTCCCAGCCCAATCGCATTAGATTGTTTTGTCTCTAATAATTTTTATCAGATGCAGGAAGTAATTCAGTTTTTATTGACAACGGATATTATTTCTCTATGTTTACAAATTATGAATACTGGAACTGAACTCTCCAAAACGGTGGCAACATTTATACTTCAAAAAGTTCTTTTGAATGATGATGGATTGGCTTATGTTTGTCGCAAATATGAATGTTTCCTACAAGTTATTATGGTTTTGGTATGTTATTTGAATATTACATTTCTCGCTAATTTTTCTGGGTAGAAAATGAAATAATCTAAAAAAACTTATTTTTGATGTTAAAAAACGTAAAAATCTTAAATTTTTTAGATTTCGTTTTTATTATTAGCCTTTTTTTTGATCGACTAAGTTGGCTATCTGCGTATTTTTCATGTAGTTGTTATTTTCTACCATTACATTTAAGTTTAGAAGAAAATGGTAATACAATTAGCCCAGCAACAATCACTTCGACTTCTTAAACACATCATTCGTTGTTATAATCGTCTTTCGGAAAACCCACGGTTGGTGAATTTATCTGTTAAGAAACTATAGAATTAAGGTTTTTTACCGATAAATCTATAAAATTTATAAAATCTATAAAATCTAAAATTTATAAAATCGCAAAGGGTAAACGGGAGTGACTGAATTTATTATGTAAATGCGATGAAAATTGAGGAACAGAGGAAGGGTAGAGCAGATGTTAAATAAAGGAAAACACTGGGCATCTTGCAAGTTTGAATATGTCGATTCTACAAGCGATTCTACAAATGTGAGGGATCAAGGGATATATTCTAAGGATACAGTTCCACATTAATATTTCTTAATGTCTATCCGGCTTTAGGTTAATTCTTAATCCATTTCCAAATTCTTCAAACTTCGAAATTTTCGATCAAATAATTATTTCTTTATTTAGTGCTACACAAATCCTGCGGCAGTACATCCCCGACCAGCTGAGAGATGGCACTTTTAACCAAATACTTCAAGAGGATAAACTTACGCGACACTGGCTTACCCAGCTGCTGAAAAATATTGGTAAATTCCACTGGAATATTTTGATCATTCAAACCTTTTAACATATGAATGTTTTTTGCAGGCCTGGACTCCGACTGAGAAACTATTAAAAGTTGCAAGTAACATTTGTACATTTCATTCAAATATGCGAACATTTCTTAATTTATTAAATTTTTTCACATTACTGAGTTCAAATATTTGTTCAAAAATTGTTTACATATATTTCGTTATTTCCCATCCTATAAGAAAAATTCTGAATATTCCTGGAGGAAAGGAGGTATTTTGATTAATTTCGTTCGGATCAATTTTTCACTTTTTTACTCTATTCATAAGAAAATTTGGAATCTTCAAATATTGATAGGAAATATTCCGTTTAATGTTATTTTGATAGTTTGGCAATGCTAAGCTATTCATATAAAGAATAAAACAAATAATTTTGCAAATATTTTGAAACAGTTTAAATTAAATTTATGTAAAATATATCTTTTTAAAATAACCGAAATGAAAATTTCAAAGCGATGAACCGGCAGAAAAAATTTAATTTTCCAATTTTAAATTTACATTGACTGAGTTTTATCAACAATAATAAAATTGAATTAAATATAAATCGGATCAAAATGTAAAACAAGAATAAAACTGACCAAAATGCAACAAGAATAAATAAAGTATTTAGCTAAACTGAAATATTTTAACGAGAAAATTAACAAATAGGTAGAACCGTCTCCATCGATTCTTCAAAATGCTTCAAATTTTCCCACTTTATTTCTACCATAGGAGACAATTTATTTGTTTTTTCATCGGGAAATGCGGCGATAAGTTCATGATTGGCCTGGTATACCTGTATAAAATAATTTTGCGAATGAAATAATACAAAATAAATAAACCGTTATGTCGGTTTCTATTGCTCAGATAAGAATTACATCTTAGGTACCACATTAGATAATAGAATAGTATATTAAATATTCACCTTCACTTGTTCCACGATCAAGGAAGAACAGTCATGGTTACTGATAGTCAGAAATTCCAATAGTTTTACCATAACATTTGTACACAAACTTAAACTTTCCACGCTGGTTACACAAATCAAAATTTTTCGTGCCTCTGTTGTAAGCTGAAATTCGATAAAAGTCGAAATTTCTCTTAAATAAATCGTTAAGTTCTACAATGAATAACGATTACCGCCGTTAAATTACTTTGCGTTACAGGCGGAAAACTGATTACTTGATTATTTGAATCAATTAAAGATGGATACATTGAAAAAAGATCGACAGTATGGAGATACCTGCAAATAAATTATTTGGTAAATACAACCATATATACGCTTAAACAGGAAACAACTTAAAAAATATTTATATTATAATTTGTATAATATTGTATATCTTTCAAAAAATTCCTGAATGAAGCATTTCTTAAATTTACCCAACAAAAAATTTTAAATCGGCAGTTGTTCTAAAACAGCCGCTGACGAATTAAAGCAAAAAAGAAGTAATATTAAGAAAAAAAATCAAAAAGCATTTGAAAACACGATATTTGACGATATACCTATAATCAGCAGAAAAATTTTTTTTTTTATTTTTTCTTCGGAACTCATTTGCTTCCGCTTTTAGGACGGCAATGAGTTCGTTGCCAGGTAGAACATTCTGCTTTTTGAAAGGAACTATCTAAATAGATAAATAAACTACAGATATTACAGATAATTTTATTAATAATTAAATATCAATAATTAAGATGTACACCACATATTAAAAAATTTAATAATTTGAATCAAATGAAACATACACGTAAATTGCTTGGTGAAAGTGCTGTATATCTGAGAGGTAATGAAATTTTATTGAAATCATGCAAATCGATATATGCTCTTGTTCTCCGACCACAGTCCGTATTATGTAGATTTTTCTTTAAATCATTTAAATCTCGAACTAAGATTTAAATTTTTCGAATAAACAAAAAAGAACTGCCAAGTTTATAAAAATTCAACCTGTAGTTTAAAAAAATTCTTTAGCTTTTCCTGATCCAAGAAAATATTTCCAACAGCACAACATAATATATGTGGCCAAATTTCTGTCACATTTGCGCTTTTTTCAACATATAACTAAAAAAAAGCATTCATTTAAAACGAAAAAGCGAACATCTCGATTTACTATTTATCACATGGAAAAATTCATTCAACTCTTAAATACAGTACAATGATTAAATGGAAAATTTAATGGAATTAACAAAAATGCATACGACATCCGAACCACACAATCCTGCAACCAGAAATTTCTCGCTGCTTTCCATTATCTTACTAGAACAGTTTAGTTTGCCTTCAGCTTCAGAAGAAGGAGATTCAGTATTTTTTATTTCCTTCTTTTTATGGAGTTTTGAAATAACGTGCTCTTTCTTTTTCAGATATTGTATTAATGCAGAAGCTGTGTGCCTCTTATCACAAGCCAATTTTTCAAAACGTTTATCGACGAACCTTAAACAATAAAAAAAATACCACTATTAACTTTTTAATTTATGAACATCTTTATTAACTGATGATTATTATTGCCGGACCCAAAGTATTGATGAGCAAAAAAATATTAAAAATTTAAAAAAATTTTTTGTGGTAAACTAATGATAACTTGAAAATGAACAAAAAAAACTTTTGCAAAAAAATATTAATATAAATAATTACTTATTTTCAGTCAAGTCAAGGTCCTTCAATTTATTTAAAGAAGAAAGAGCGATGGGAAGGTCCCTAAGTTTGTTAGACGATAAATTCAAAGTTCTCAGTTGATCAGAAAGATAACTGATTTCTTCAGGAAGTTTATTAATACAATTTGAGTTGAAAAGCAAAATTTTTGCTGTATTATGAGGTAATGTTGAGGGAAATTCTTCGAGATTATTATATGATACATCAAGAATTTGCAGTGATCGAAGATTCGTGAAAACTGGCAGCGACGATAGCTGTAATTTTTAGAAAACAGTATAAAATAAATAATGACTAATACATATTTTTCATGAATCCACACTATTTATAGTTAAGCTCGCTTCGCTGGCTAGCTACACTGAACGAATATTCCATTAAGTAGTCCATTAAGGATGGAAGTTTATGTGAATAACCAACATCATCGAATTTTTCAACAAGTTTATCACAACAAGGAATAGAACCTCGTCATAGGCGCTCCAATCTGAACAACAACCACTAAGCCATATTAAAAAATAATTTTATAATTTTAGAATCTGATGAAGAAAAAGAATTTAAAATACCAACTTTATTATTCGACAAATTGACCGAACACAAATTTATCAAATTTCCCATAGCGGATGGCAAATTTGTAATAGCATTGTGAGATAAATCTAGTAATTTCAATGATTTTATATCAGTGATTTCATCCGGAATATTAACGAGAGAATTTGAGCGCAATACGAGATTTGTCAAGTTTTGCAAATTCATCACATGACAGTAAAGCTTGGATAAACCAACGCAAGTTAAGTCCAAGAAATTCAAAGGCGAATTCTAAAATTTTAGAAAAAATAAATATTTTCTGAAAAGGCTTTCAAGGCATTCCATATTGGCAAATATTTCCTAAATAAATTAAAAATACTTATCAGCTACTACTTGGTCCACAGCGAAACACCACCAGAATCACCTATGCTTACATCCTTCCTTTTTCTCTTCGCATCGCTGCATTATTTCTTTAGCAACAGTTCATTCTGCTAATAATAGGCTTTTACTGTCCTTTCCTATGCCGCACTGTTTCTTCATCATAAATTAGCGTTGCTGTGGATCAGAAAACCCAAAATAAGAATAAAACTAATTAAAAGTGCCGATTTCAAAAATGCCGTTTTTTCCAATTTCTATTTAATCCAACTTTTTTTGTTTTGAAATTTTTCTAAATATTTTGAGAACTAAAAATAACTTTTACCTTTCTAAATAAAACCGCTTGAAGCCCTTCATCATTAATACTCGGTTTTCGTTCGTCTAAGGAAGTATTTGTAATAACCAACTCAAATCGACTATCAGTTAGAAATTTAATTTCCGGCCAATCAGTAAATCCAAAAGCATCGTTTTGCATAGTTTTTTTCCTCTGAAACTAATTCACAAAGATTTATTTGGAAATTCAAAAATATTAAAAAGTTAAAGATTTTGAAGAATTTTTTCCTGTTTTCTTCCCAAATTTCATTTGCGAGGAATTCGCGTAAAGTACGAAATAAAAAATAACTTAAAACCACGAAAATAATCGTAATGATAAATGAAAAAAGTGGGAAGAAAATATTTTTTCTTAAACAATAATTAAAATTAGGAAAAAAGGAAAAATAAAAAATATGAAATAAAAATAAACCAAAAAAAAAATAAACAACAAATGATGAAATAAAAAGCTTAATAAAAAACAGAATAAAAAATAATAATTTAAATAAAAATTATGAATTTAATTTTTAAGCCATTTTGTTGCAATCATTTAACGCCTCAATCCACGAGTTGTCCAACATAAACGATAATTAAATGCTCGCAGACTGCTATCCGTGATGGACGAGGCAGTGCGAATGTTCAAAAAAATGCTGCTGCAATTTCTCGAACGGTAATTTCCACTCGTATCGCCTACACAAATTATTGATGGAAACGAAAAAAATGAAAGGAAGGTGGAAAAAAAACAGCGAAGTGAACGATTTGCGCTGTGGCTCAGACAACCGAAAAGTTTCCCCAAAAAATAGTTTAGGGTAATTTCGAATATTTTTATATTTTTGAAATTAACAAATCAATCAAATTGTGAAATAATAAAAAAAATAAACCCTTTTAATCGAAATAAAAATGTTAAATTTATTTGTTTACCAAATCGAACCCTTCATTGTTTACCGCCTTGGCCACTGATATTTTTAATGAACTTGGTAATATAATACGGCCCCATGTACGAGTTGGCGTATTAGGCAGCCCCATTTCGTGTTCTTCGCATGGAAAGGAAATGATTCGAAAATGGCGAATTCTCATCAAAAAATTATAAACACAGGTAATATCAAATAGAATGCAACAGATTCAGTGGAATTTAACAAACGAATATTACTGGATGGAAGAGAAAGAAAAACAATTCGTTTTTGTTTTTCGAAATAAATTTGCATAAATGAATTCAAAAATAAGAATTAAAAAATTCCACTGGCAATTATAGGCTAAGTTAGGGTAGCAGAGTGGTCCACTTCCGCCCACTCACCATAAATCCTTCGATGACAATGCCGGCGATCCATTTCCTTCCTCTCCATCTTTTCTTCTAAATGACTCGCTGGCGAATAATGCAATTTGAAAAAATATCACTTAAATATTGTTTTTATTATTTATTATTATATTCGAAATCGGACAATTTAATAAGCAAAACGATATGTGAAGGTTTTTTTGTGGTTGAAAGGGTGAAATTCCCGAAATTTAAATTTCTACTTTTAATTTCATTTCATTTCTACTTTTCATTTATTTTTATCATTCCTCGTCAATGATAAAATGAACAGCCACGGAGACTTTTGCTTTTAACGACAGATTTGTTCCCATAAAGGAAACGTGACTGAACATATTACGTGACGCGGACTTACACTGGAAAACACCGACCACATCATCTCCACTTGCCTAATTGAGAGAAGCGCTTATGGTGGACTGCAATTACAAAATTATCGAAAATATGTTGTAAAACCGATATTCTTTCTTATTTTTCATGCAAAATTCAGTAAGTAAATAAAGTTTTGAAAAAAATTTAGTGATTTTGATAACGAAAATTCGATATTAATTTTTATTTTTAAATACCTTGGGTCCACTCTAATATCGAATGGCCAGGCAAAAGACGATATTATAACCGGATCACTGCAGCTAGAAATGCGTCCTTCCGGTTGACGAAATTTTTATGGAGCCGTCAAAGCCGTCATTACCATTAAAACGAAAGCCCGCATCTATATAGCCTTGATTCCACTGATTCGTTCCATCTTGCTATATGGCTCTGAGATATGGCCAATGAGAGTGGAGGATATTATCTACCTTTGACCACTCACGTCTAAGGCACATTTTACGCATCCGTTGAGCGGATAAAATATCACATGATCACTTCCACCTTCGTTCTGCCACTTAATAATGTTATCACAGAGTGTCGCCTTCGCTATTTAGGGCACGTTCTCCGTCATCCACCACAAGAATTGTCGCATATTTCTTTACTTGCTAAACTTGTGATGGATGGCATCGAAAGCGAGGTGAGCCAATCAAGACCTGGATTGATACGGTCAAGAAAGATTTTGAACGTATACATGGACCAGCAATATATGGATTTAGACGATGGAAAAAGGAATGGATTCTATTATTGTTGACGAAGGAAGACCGCGCCATTTGGAAGCGTTTTACCATTGTAGCCACTGGAACCAGCCTAACCAGTAATGGAGAAAAAGTAATGGAGAGCTGTTAGAAGAAAAAAAAGAAGAAAATTTTTACTGAATAATAGGATTTAAAAAAAAAATTATTTTTTCTTCTACTTCTATAATAATTTATACTACAACAAAAAACACCAGAAGTGCGCCGACATTTACCTCTCATTGCCAACAAATCCAAACGCACCAATACTGTTGCAAAAGTATTTGAACATAGGATATTCATTAGGAAAACTTAAGGGCCACTTCAGTCGTTTTTTGCTGAAATTTAAAAAACTCAATCTTTTTCATATTTTTTAAGTCGCCTGCATGCGTCATTCGATGAAATATTTAGTGGAACTGATCTTAATGCTTCGAAATTCTTTCGAGTGCATAAAAGTGTCGCTCATTATAATAATTCATTTGAGGAACACTGGTTTATTCAAACAAGTTCTAAGGAATTCTCTTACCTCGGTAACAAAGCAGTATCTTTCTTTTATATCCACTAACCATGTGTTCACCGTCAGCACCAGGTTGAAATATCTACGTGAACACTTTGCGAAAGAACCAAATATGCAAAGTAATGTTCGTTATAGATTGGTAGCGTAATTTTTAAAATGGCAGTTGACGCTTATGAATGTGGACATAAGCAATAACTCAGCCAGAAATAATGATTTATTTTGACATTTTTCAGTTTTGTTATGCTTTGAGCTAAACCTTAAAATCAACATTTAAATCATTGCCTTTCCCCTATGCATAGGTAACGTACTGCTTGTCCGCACTAAGAAATGTACTGATCAGTTCACACCAAAGAGAGTGGCCCACTATTCTTCTATAAAATCCTATATCTATAAAATCCTAAAAGTATAGTCGTTTGAGGCATTGTTAATACAGTGGCCAGACTTAACCAGACTTTGGGATTATTCGGAGTGAAATTTGAGTGAAATAGAAATTCTTATGGAGTAAAGAATTAATAAAGAGCAAAAGAGAATGATAAACAATGATAACATCAATTTTAATCTACGTTAATATGGTAAATTTAAATTTACTAATTATCACATTAGTATTAGTATAGCTATTTCGCCATGAATAGAACGATTCAAGGAAAGGCAATAAAATTTTAGCGAGAAAAAAAAGGAAAGTAAGAGATACTGAAGTTGTAAGTTAGGTGAAAGATGCATTATAGGAATCTGATTGCGCAATAATATTAATGAAGTTCAAAGGATTATTACGAGATTATAATAGAGTGGAGGAGAGATGGGAAAGGAGGATGGAAGAGAAAAGGTGGCAATGAGTTATTAAGGGAAGATTTAGGATTGAGGAAAGCAAGACTATATAGAGTTTGAGCGGTTATGATGGAAATGTTTTTTGAAATCAATTTGTGATCATAAACCCCTCTCTGATCAAATAATATTTGTAAATTATATAGATCAGAAAAAAAAAGCCAGCTGCTACTAAAGATCTTTGGTAATTCAATTTTCTTGGCATGGAATCGGATAAAATTAAAAATTTTGCAAATACTGTTGAGGCCCGACTTTAAATACCTTCCACTCTAATCCCAAATGGCCAGGCAAACCATGAAATTATAACCCGGATAGCTAAAAATATGCGTTTCCGGTTGATGAAACCTTTATGGAACCGCGAATTCACCATAAAGATGAAAATCTGCGCCCATATAGCTGCAATTCGCTTGATCTTGCTATGTGGTTACGAAACATTGCCAATAAAAGTGGAAGATTTTAAGAATATTAGTCTTTGACCACTGATGTCTAATACATTTTACAGATCCGTCGATCGAGCGGATAAAATCGTACATGATTGTATCCATTCATCGCTCATATACCACGTGTATTAATAATTTTATCATAGAGCGTCTTCGGTGGTTAGGTGTTCTCCGTCATCCAACACAAAGATTGACGCATATTTCAGTACTTGCCGAACCCTGTGCTGGTTGGTGTCAAAAATAAAGGAGAGCTAATCAAGACCTGGACTGATACAGCATATGAACTTAAACGATGGAAAAAGGAATGGTTTCTATTGCTACTAGCGATGGCGCCGGATCGAGCAGTTTATAATCTTACCCTTGAGGCCAGCGGAGCCAGCCAAACCAGTAATGATTAGAGCTGTTAGAAAAAGAAGATTTGAAGAGCATCACATTTCTGGTAATTGTTCTGGCATATAGTTCATCATTTTGATTTCAAATTCAAATTTACTTAAACTTTCATTAATTGCCACAAAAATATATTCATGATTAGTATCAGTAATTTCAATATTATAATCTGAAATAACTGGAAATCTGGCAGCAAAATCACAACCATAATCAGATAAAAAATAATTTTCTTTAAATTAAGTTATCCAATGAACTGTCCTTAGACCTTAGACTGTTAAAAAAAAACTTGAATCGCTTCATGTTGCAAGTTTCAAAAATTTTTAAAAATTAATTTGCATTTTACGATATAAATTACGATGTGTTAAAAAAAAATTATCCAAAATTTTTGGGCATAATTATTTTCAGATTAACCATTAAACAAATTTTGAAGTTCAAGGTTAAATAATTATATGAAATATATAAATATATATATTATTAATAGAATAATAGAGAATATAATTTATTGAATATAAAGTAAATATAAAATATATTATAAAATAATTTCAAATAAATGCAAACATAGTGAACTGACTGAAAATCGCCCAAGGCGAATTCAGCGAGTGCTTCGATTGAAGTTTATCATTTTATCCAGTGTGTTCTATGAAACTAACGAACTTACGAAGTATGGTGGAAGAACAGAAAAATCAAGCAACAAGTCTCAAAGGAGACCTTCTTCTTCTTCTTCTAACAGCTTTCACCATTACTGGTTAGGCTGGCTTCAACGGCTACAAGAGTAAGACGCTTCCAAATGGCGCAGTCTGATGCCATCGTCGACAGTAACTGAAGCCATTTTTTTTTCCATATATTGCTGGTCCACCTATACGTTCAAAATCTTTGCTCACCGTATCAGTCCAGGTCTTGATTGGCCCACCTCGCTTTTGACGCCAACTATCACTGTGCGTCAACTCTCAAAGGAGACCATTCGAGTTTTAAGAAACGATAATTCGATCGATAATTCGATTGGAGGAGATGAACGCCAGTAAATGCTTCAAATATTAAAACATAATGGATTTTTTACTTGCAGTTTATTCTCAGAGAAAAAATTTGCATCCAAATTTCGGCTAATCCGTTGTTTTTCCAATTTATTACCTGTTTTGGTGAGCTTCTATAATCCTCTGAGGGATTTTACAAATAATTTTTCTCACATATTCATCACGACATCATTATCATTTCATCATTCGAGCGATAACATTTTACGATAGAATTAACCACCATTTAATTGGAAATAATTCTATTGTTCAACTATTTCCATCCAATTTGTCCGTAAAATAAAAGCAAAACGTGCAACGTTCAAGTTGTTTTTCGTTAATTCAGAGGATCTTTTTCAGTCGAAATCTTCTATCGATGAATGGTGCCGGTGGTTCCCTCTCCTATAAGCCAATTTATTTTCGAAACTTTTAGAGGGACCTGTTTTATAGTTGCATTTTGCCATTGAATATTCCATATTTCTCGTTTTCTTATATTTTCGAGAAAATAGATAATTTTGTTTTTATTTGCTATTTATAAATTAATGTAAACCTCAAACTAAAAATTTAAATAAGTATGTATTAATTAAACAATTAGATTAAGAACAATTAAGTAATTAAACAATTAAATATTACTGAATTCGAACGACTAAATATTTTCTTCCCATTTCCAATAAAATATAAATTTATTAAAAAAATATATTAAATATTTCTTTTAGCACCAATTTTGATCTGGTGGGCTCTACCGGTTATTATGGTGAGACTCGTTTCCTCGCCTCAGATCCACTTGGAGATAAAGAATTGATAAATATCTATCGTGTCCTCTACGTTAATAACAATAAAAATTAGGAATTCACGAGATAAAAGCAGGTTGAAAGCATGCAATTTTTATAACATTTTTTATCTTTCAGGAGACGAAAATAAACGCGAATATGGCTGGCGATTCATGGAAAAAAGAAATAAAAAAGGCTGAATGGAAAACACTAGCATCATTTTTGTTCTACTGCTTGTTCAACAGTAAAGCTTGCCTAGCCGACTGTCAAGGGTTGGTACGTTTCGAGAAATTAACTTTTTCAAAGATGCCATTAACTTAAGAGAAATTTATTAGATGCAATTTTTATAATTTTCCCCTAATATCCTCTAAAACTTCGCTTTACTCTCCAAACATTTTCCAAGCATCTTAAAATATTTTTACAGCCACCACAATCTCATACTCTCCACTAGCACTCTCTTAGGCCACTAAGAGCCAAAAGTTTTCGAAATGTTTATACTGTTTGTTTATCGTGAAAACTGCATTCGTTGTTATTAAAAATTTGTCTGGAACTGATAGTTGTGAAAAAGTTTTTAAGAAAATGAATCCATCCTTCCTTCTTTTGAATCCTTCTTGCTGTCGTTTTCATTCTTCGGGAAATTTTTAAATGATTGCCAGCGAAACTGATGTAAGTAAATTATAATTTTGCCCTTTTATTCTTATGAAAGGCTTAAGCTTAGGCTTTCTGATAATTTACCTGTTTCTTCTATCTTTATAAATCTTCCTGCCAAAGCCGAATCCATAAGCTATTTTTTAGACCGACCTTCCTTGTACTTTTGTTCTTGGTTCCTGTATGCAGATCCTAATCCATTCTTTGGACTGTTTATAAACATTCTCTTCACAGGTCCTGTAGGTGGGTGATATAAATCATCCTCAACTCAAGTTTTCTATCAGAGGCTCGGAAGAGAGGCGAAGTAAGGCAGATAAGCTGTCAGAGGATTTCGCGAGGACCTTCACAGGAAAGAAATTGGCTATAATTTGTTGTTATATTCAAATATTAATCGCCCTTAACCACTACGCTATTCTGTCGCAAGTGGATCCCAACTCATACTTTAAGCTGTATATATATATATATATATATATATTATATGTCTATAATCCCATTTTGCTGATCCTTCGGCTACTCTTGTTCAACTATCATTTTTCTCCTTTTATTGGTATCTACTTATCGTATTTGTCGATTTTATGCTATTTTATGCTTATGCTTATGAATCAGCCAATTTATTTTCTACTGGACTACCAATATACCTTAATAAATTGGTAGCTAATACTAACTTACTGCTGTATTCTTGATGACTTAAATGTCTTTTTCGTTCTGCATTTGACCAAAGATGGTGAACCAAAGAATTGGGTTGTTTGCACTAAATTTATTTACTTTATTGGATCGCTTGACTTCAAATTAAATTCAGTCGATATTACGAATTTCGAATAGAATAATTTCTAATTTTTCTTTTTGAATTGGGATATGAGTAGTTTTTCATTCGCCGTTTGGTGATATTGGTGCCTGCTGAGAGCGTTATGCGTCAGTCTGTTTTGAACCGAGCCTTTCTGGATACATTGTTGGCAATTATCTTGCCATTACTCTACTCTACTGAGTTCTTTTTTTGAAGAGCACACATCATTGTCGGTTAGAGCCGCTCCTGAATTGTCGCACTGGACAAATATGCCAGGAAGTCTCTGACAGAATTACAAGTGATTCATCGGCACCACTCGGATTTTTGGAAGACTGGTTTATTCCTTCTGGGAAACCTCAGCATCAGCGCTCAGAATTGAGCAACACAGCTCTCTGAACTATCTCCTTTGCTTTCTCCGTTGGGCGACACTACCTCTCAACAAATCGGTAAGTCAACTGAATTTGATCTCGACTGAATCTTACGTCTCGACACTTGGTCAAATTATCTTATGACTGTACCACAAAATTGCCATTTGATCTTACGCACTTTAGACCAGATAATATGCGTGAGAAACTCCTATGTTCTTCTAAATTTGTATGCAATCAGGAGCAATTAAAATTTTGCTCAAAATTTACTTCAGAGCGGAATATTTGGTAAGCGCATATTGTTCGACACCTACGCTTAAAATCCTGGCTTCATCATTATGTCCGCATTATTGCACGATCTGCAAAGATGGTTAGTTTATTTTGAAAAGTAAATTGCTGCTGAGGACTCGTATGTATTTCTCATTCAATTCCTTGCGGAACCAATCTCACCTAATAACCAAAGCAACAAACCAAACTAGAAATGGTAAATCGTTGCACTATTAAAAAAGGAAAAAGAACCTGAATCTTTTTAGCTAATCAGTGCAAAGATATCATCGATCAACTGTGCGGAAAACCTCATTTTTTTCAAACATCCCTGGAAAAATGTTTACATACATGTGGAGTTTGTAGTTTATCGATTGTTAATAAATGTCCGGATCTGATCCAAGAATGCGAGCGTTTAAAAACACACTGTGATCACGAGACCATTAACAAACTGTGCCAAGGCACGTGCGGCTCAACAGACTGCTTTGCAATTCCCTTAAGTAAGTCGTTACTAACAAATAAGCAACCTTTTCTCGTCAAAGTAAAATTTACGCTATTCTATGGAATTTAGAAAATACTGCCTTTACATTTTTAGCAACAAAAGCGCCTTGCCGCGACAGTCGTGTTGACTGTCCAAAATATCGACATCTCTGCACGATCGGTGATTATGGAAGAGTGTTGAAAAAGCAGTGCAAACTTACTTGTGGGTACTGTCGACCGACATGAGAAAATTCTTTCATAATGTATGTACTCACTTATAGATTCGCATTTATTCTCTCAAGTAAAAGCTATAAAAGTGTAAAAAATTTATATTCGATTCACATTTTGTAATAAATGTTTTAAGTTTTATCTACAAAACCGCGAAATAAAACAAAATGAGCTGAATTAAAGTAAAATCCTGGATTCCCCTATTTTGCTTCTATTCCTCAGTGTCTCTCAGCTAAAACGGTATAACTCTTAATAATCGTCGCCCAATTTCTACTTTTATCTCCCGTGACTCTTTGGTAAATGGTTCAACTCCTAAAAGTCAGTGGAACTAACCAAATCAAGAATAGGAACAGCGCTAGCGAGAGAAAATCCCAGTTATTGCGCTTCATTTCAAAACTTTTCTTGTCTCCAGACTTTGTCACACCATGTGACAAAGGGATGTTGAAACAAAACAACAGGGTCTCGGCTGGGTGTTAGGTGGCGGGGGGGGCAGAGGGGTAGGGGGATATTTTAATAGATAAAGGGTGGAGTACCTAATAAGGTTTGAAGATATTTTTGCAAAACATAACAGATTTTAAGGAGAAAGCTAACTCGCAAATTTTTTTTATGAACCAATTTTTTCGCATATGCGAACAAATATAATATTTTAAAAATGTGCAGAAGCTGGTTATTAATAAATAAATGCTACTTTCCCCTTATCCGATACCGGAAATACCCAAGTTTATTTACCTTTACGTCGTTCCACTCGCATCTCTCCTTCTACCCATTTTAATTCAGAATTCCCCATTTTGAGCTGAACACTACCTCCCCCATTACAGTATGCGAAAGAGGACAACCTGGAAGGAACAGAAATGAACCACTATTCGAAGAGTTTCGAAAATTCGCAATTTATTCGAACATAGATTTTGTGCTGCATCAATCTCCGTTTTTCAAATTCAAACTTGGCGGGTAAATTCAAAATTTTGATTTTAAATTTTAACAAGTATTTGCCGCTTTTTTCTTTCTTGGGGCCTAACCAGGTGGCGGGTGGGTAGGTGGGGGGGGGGGGATTTGTCTTTTTTCTCGAGTAACTTCATAAATAATTTTTTCAGCTGAATTTTTTTTCCAGTATAATTTGCCGAATTTTTGCCGAAATTTTTAATTATTTCCTTCGTTTCTGCATTTTCTACAATAATAGGTAATTAATATTTTTCTATAGTTTTAGAATTAGCAATGCTGAATTCATGGCAGATTAGAACTCCATTTTTTCCTCTCTTTTAAAGGATCTACGAGCAAAAAATTGAAAAAATTTAACTAAAATGGATGGGTCGGATTTGAATAAAATTCGCGCTCGTCTTTCTTCGATGAATTATTCTGATTTACGTAAGGAAGCCAAACGACATTCATTAAAAGCCAATCAGAAGGTTATTTTTAAAAAAATACTTTATAATATTGTTATTTATTATTATTGTTTCACTAATGTTTTTTTAAAATGTTTATTGATATTATGTTTATATCAAAACACCCGTCAAGGGAAACGAGAAACCTATCCGCTAACACTCTGTAAGCGTGGTGACGTTTTGGTTAATTATAACTACTTGGAGCATCAGAACACTTGTGGATGTTGCAAGTGATCACTGTCCATACCCTCTCTCCGTGTAGATGTTTGTGGGAGGTCCGTCTTCCTCATGTCGGCTCTCGAGTAATTATTAAACCTGAGTTCCGAGCAAAGATATCGGCTATATCACTGTGGTGTCTTGGATAATTCGGTGAGAAATGGTATAGCGATTGTCTGGAAAGGTTCGATCCGCTCTGGTTAAATGGAAGCCAGTAAATGGCCAAATGGCCTACTCGAGTTTCAAGAGAAAATTCTGCAATGTTTCGATTATCAGCGTATATGCTCCAACGTTATGCGCAAGTGACTGCGGTAAGATTAAGTTCTATGGGAAACTTCAACATCAACATCTCTACCGAGAGGTGACATGGTCATAATCATAGACTGGTGCGCTTAGGTCATGATGCCGTTACGATGAATTTGGTTATTGGCAAATATGGCATAGGGGTCCAGTGCGCCAATGGAGAACGCCTTCTTCGTTTTGCCGAATAGCATGAACTTTTTACTAATACATACTCTCGGCATCAGAGGAAACATCCAGTCACCTGGAACTCTCGGAGAACCAATATTCTGATCAAATTGACTACATTAATCACTTACTGCTGGAAGAGTCCTGAACTTGATAGTCGTTCTTATCGGAGCGCTGAAACTGGTAACCGCCATGGGTCAGACCATGTTATGATTCGAGCTAAGATTCGTGTAAAGTTGACAAGTCGTAAGAAATAACATCCCGAGATCTTTCAACCATCTCAACTTAAAAGATCTGGGAACAATAAGCGCATTTCAAATATATTATCGAAACACCTCAGTGTGAAATGAATATGAATCAATGATATTCCTGGAACTGCGATTGAATACTGGTCCTAACTAAAGTGGCTTAGGCCATTTCCACGCTAGGAAGTGCGCTAGTTGGATATTGGAAACAACTGTTTGAAAAAACTGCTAACGTCCGAATGTCAGGAGAACCTGACTATCGGGTGCTTCGAAGAATTACAACGACAGCACGGGACATAAATCGCTATTGGATATGGCCTTGAGAATGGAGACTCGGATAGGTGATAATAGGAAACTGTTTCGCCTCTTTCACAAAGCAACTATAACTCGAGAATCAGTGAAATTGATGCGGGATATTAATGGGACGCCTTAAGGATCGCCTCAGAAGATGAAAAGTTTTTTGGGACCGTAACAATGTTTATCTGTTATCCTAGATATAACTGATTCTCTCGTCAAGAGTTTGCAAATGTGAACCGCTAATAGAAAGGGAAATAAACCATAAGTTTAAGGTCAATAAATTCTCGTAGAAGATGGTCTTCTGGTCGAACTTTTCAAATGTTATCCATCATCTTACATAACTTACCAACTTAACTCATCTGAAGTGAACCAGTTATATTATCTTCAACAAATGTACTCTCTGGTATGCAAAAGGAAATAATACCAGAAGATTGGAGCAAAGCAATTCTCTTCCGCATTTCTAAGAAAGTTAATAGGACATACTGCGACAATTACAGAGGAATCAGCCTACTAAGCATCACCCAGAGAAATTTTCGCTTATCTTTTGCTAAATAGACTCATGCCAACGCGAGATAGGCGATTTCGTCCTAGCTGGATTCAGACCAGGACGGTTGTACTGACCAGATATTTACACTAAGAAGAGTGCTAGAATATTGCTTTATCGATTGCATTGCTTTAACATTGCTTCAAATACCAGCAACCCACTGGCACTTGCTTTATCGATTTTGCAGTTGCCTTTGATTTGCTTGATAGAGCTCTGAAGAGTGATGGAATGTGATGGTATCCCAGAGATCATTTGACTTATAATGGCATTTTATCAGCACACCCTGGCACAAGTCCGTTTATATGAGGACTGACAGACTCCTTCGAAATAAGAACTGGTGACGTCATATGCCTATATCATTTTCCTATAATATTCAACTATGCGATAGATAATGACCATCGCTTGTCGGCACTCGAAAGGTTTGGAAATAAGTCCAGAACATAGCATCATAGATCTTGATTACGCTGATGTTGTAGTCCTTTTTGCTGATAGATATAATGAAATGCAAATAATGTTAAACAAAGTGTCAACAACTGAAGCGAGAATTGGACTCAAAATCAATGTAAATAAAACGAAAATGTTTTCGTCTTATATACAAGGTATTGATAAAATACCCTTTTTTATCAATTTATTGCCGATTGAGGAAGTGCCCTATATTAAATTTTGGATTTATCTAATCCCAAATGGTCAGGTAAAGGATGAAATTGCAACTCGGATAACGACAGCTAGAAATATGCTTTTCCGGTAATCTTTATGGAAATCTCCATAAAAATGAAAATCTGCGTCCATATACCTGCGAAATATGGCCAATGAGAGTGGAAGATATTAAGAAGCTATCAGCCTTTGATCACTCTTGTCTAATATATTTTACGGATCCGCCAAGCGGATAAAATCGAATATGATTGTATCCATCTTCGCTCATATACCACGTGTATTAATAATTTTATCATAGAGCTTCTTCGGTGGTTAGGTGTTCTCTGTTGTCCACCACAGGAATTGACGCATATTTCAATACTTGCCGAACCCTGTGATGTTTGGCGTCAAAAGAGGGGGTCAAGGAGGGCCAATCAAGACCTGGTCTGATACAGTCAAGAAAGATTTCGAACGCATAGGGTGAATAGAGCGATATATGGTCTTAGACAATAGAAAAAGGAATGCCTTCTATTACTATTAGGGTTGGCATCGGACCAAAAAGCTTGCAGATGCCTTTCCTTGTAGCTAACGGAGCCAGCATAACCAGTAATAATGAGAGTTAAAAGCAAAAGGTATATTATATAGCAGAAGATATAGCAGAAGGTATGGTATATTTATTAATCTCTTTATTATCATTTGAAAATTATTCTATTTTGGATTGTTAAAAAATTTGAATTATTGACATATTTGTTTATTAATAAAAATTTAATGCTGCTCGAAGTTATTTGCTGATATTGAAAACAATAAAAATTTGTAGAAAATTTAAAAATTGTTGTAAATATAAAAAAAGCCAATGAAACAATGAAAGCTTAACGAAAACTTTAAAATCATTAAATATTAACAATTATTATGCTTTTTCTTCTGTTCATAAATTTGTTTTGATGAAAAGTTATATCGCTTTTCTTCATTCATCGTTTTTTACCCTACATTTATTGAAAATAAACAATTGGTACTATATTTTGAATAAAATGATAATTAAATAATTTATTTGCTGTAATTTTGTTAAAGTTGTGAAATGTTGTCAAAAAAACTTTTTTTTGTCTAATCATTTTGACTTGTAATGAACCCAATTTGTATAACTCAAGTTTTGTCTCACTAAATTCAGTAATCTAGCGAATATAATTTCGCAAACAACCAATTAATTGTGAAATTTATTTCATTTAATTTATTACATTTCTCAGTCAATTAAACATTTTAGAAATCAATATTAGTCGATAAATTGTCGAAAGTTTGGGGAAAAGTTCCGGTCATATCCAATGACACCAATATTGAAATGGAACCAAGAGAAGTCGATGATACAGTTGCACACGAAGAAGAAAAAAAAGAGAAAAATTTGGATGAAAATGAAGTATGTTATGGTTTTAACCATTGTGATAGTGTTATTGTGCTGAAAGAAATCATCTTCGCATAATTCAGTTTAGTCTGCGCATATCTTTGGTCTGATATTTCATTGAATAAGATTTCTTGTTTGTTCCAGCCGCAGATAAATTTGAATTCGAGTTTGCTAATTTTATTTTTTACCCATAAATCAGTAACTGCAGGACACGATTTGTGATTCTTGAAATTCGATTGGCTCTTATTACATTCTACTCGAATTTCTTATAAAAAATTTGTAAAACAAGTATTCAGATCTTATAAAAAATTCATCTTCTTTAGTTATGAGGGTGATAAATTTTTTTTTTACTAGACCGTCACTTTTGACAAAATACTTCATAGCGGTACCCTATTTCACGTTTAATGATAAAATTTAGACATGTAAAACGATTTCACCTGAGTTAAAACGGAAAAATTTTAGAATTCGCTTTAAGATCATTGAAATTTCATTTCCACTATTCGTTTAATCATTTTATAAATTTTTAAAAAAGAAAACTAAAAATATTCACACTTTAGATTCATTCAAGCTAAGAATCGTCTTGGTCAGTGAAGGCTTTAAACAGCCTTTCTGACGTTCATAGCCAAGTGAAGATTCATTGGAAGATTCATGGGATGGATAAATACAATACAATACATAAATATATAAAAGAAAAAAAATTGAAAATTCGAAATTGAATTGAATTTAGATTAAACCAACGTATCAGTCACCGCTGTGCTCCTCATTCCAGCTCTTGTAGACAAATCATGGGCTCTTTTTTGTCACTTTATCTTGTTATATTTAATCTATTCTCTAATTCTATTTGGATTATTTTTAGAATAATGTCGATAATGTTGTGCTGAGAAATATCGAAAACCTTGAAAATGCAAATTTTTCATTAAATGCAACTGCTGAACGCTGTTCGAGCTTTTTTAAATTTTTTGCCTTTTTTAAAATATATTATTTGAATTTTTTATATTTATTTTTATATTTATCGGATTTTTATTTATCGGATGTTTTATTCAGCCAAATAGAGTCATCATGTTCATTTTATATGCATTCATTTTTTAGTGGCGTGCAACGGCTGCAATCAATCAAAATTTGAAAAGAGCAAAGGCAAAACTCGTAGCAAAATTCCATCCAGCATAAAAAAAACGAAATATGAACATGGTTCTAGTAAGAAATTCAATAATTTTCTAAAAGAGTACCTACAAATCTACAAATCTGATATTTTTTTTAGTCAACAAATTTTTTCATTGTATCTTTGTAGAGCAAATTGGATTATTTGGAATATTTTAGTAACAAAACGGTTCCTTGAAAAACATAAAAAATGGATCTCTAAGGCACCTAATATAGTTGAGGACGCAAAGAGGATTAAGCAAAAATTTGATAAACACGAAGGAGAAGTTCCTCCTCTATTCAAAGTTATTTTTTATTTTACTTTAAATTCGCTTTTTTTTGAATTTTCCATATAAATTTACTAAAAGTATGTCAAGATTTTACTTTTTAAAAATTTTTCTCAGTGTTTATTGGTCTTAGAATTATTATAACAAAATTTAAAAATTTAAAATCTTTCCATTTTTTCATTTTTATATATTTATTGTTCAATGAATCTTTAGCGCTTGGCTACACCAATGAAAGCCAAAAAGGCTATTTTAAAGCCTTCACTGGCTAGGACGATTATTAGCTTGAATGAACCTGAAGGGTGAATTTTTTTTTCTTTTTTAAAAATTTATAAAGTGATTGAACTTAAACGAATAGTTGAAACGAAATTTCAAATGATTTCAAATGGAATTTAAAAAATTTTCCGTTTTATCTTACACAAAGCGTAACCTTTTTATTTTTCGATATGATTTCGGCCAAGCGCCAACAGATCTGTCAAAAGCTGTGTTTCAATTTGGGGATTATGCTGTAACAGAATTCTCAAAATTGCAAAAAAAAGAATCCGAATGTGAAAAAAATAACCAAAAAAATCATATAGAGAATAATAAATCTTTGTTGATTGAATCAGCGGTAAGAAAAGTCCTTTATTTAAGATTTTTTATTAGATTCTAAATTTTTTATACTTGTTTTTTCACTGATTGAAGGTTCATTTTTGCAATTTTTTTTATTTGTCCAGTAATATAAGCTTTATGTAAGTTTATTTATTTAGAGCAACGTAAAAATTCAAAAAGTGCTACAAAATGAGGATGAGAAAGCGGGTTACTCTTTACGTCATGAACGAGTTCGTTTCGCTCCATTACTCCGAACTGTTCCTAAAACTATTCCTATCACTATCCCTAAAATATCGGAACGATTAGAACAATTAGCGACACCGAAACGTAACAATATAGCGACAAAGAATGCAAACGGTAATAACTGAAGTATAATTAAAATATATTTATTTGAAAGTTTGGAATTTTTTGTGATAATACATATATATATATATCATTCGTGGTTTGTTGGCTTAATTGATCACTAAGATGAATTCAATCGTCTTAAGCCTTAGAGTTAAAGTTAGAGTTAAGATTAGGGTTAGGAGATGGAAATGGAAACAGTTTCTTAGCACTACGTTTTCAACAAGAATGTTATTTGATCTAGCCAATATTTAACGTAGCTTTGGTTCGGAGCTTTGATTTAGCCAAAATTCATTAACAACTTTACCGCTTTGTATGGATGAATATTTTATATTCCAGTTGCAATAAAAAAGAAAGAAGTTCGAGATAAAAAAGAAATATATAAAGCGCGGAATGGTCGTTTAATTCCTTACGTTGATACTACTTTGATGAGTGACGCTCAATTCGAAGAAGCGAAAAGAACTGGAAAAATAATAAGTCTAACATCACTTAAGAAAACACGGTTCGCTTTTATTGTTCTTTGGTTATCAGTAACATCCCAATTCTTTGCGTTTAAATTAACGGTTTTAAATTGAAATCATCAATACCTTCTAAAGGTAAAACCGTCAACTTTTCGTCAAAGTGAAAAGTGAATAAACAATTTCGAATTTTTTGTGAAACATGATGTTTCGACACTAACATAAAGGCATTTTGATTCAAATAATATATTCTTTTGCAAAGATCTTTCATTACAGACTTCAAGCTCGACAACAACTGAAAGAAACGCGCATAACAAATAGAGACGCAATTTTGAATAGAAAAAGAGGACTACCAATACTACCAACATAAATCTTTTCATTTTTTGACTTTTTATGACTAATTTTTTATACTTTTTATATTTACAGTGGTTGTACATTGGCCCCCATTATGCCACATCTTAACATTTCTGTACTCCTGGTACTGTACATACAGAAATGGATAATCACTGCCTATGCCCATCCTTAATTTTTAACAGATAACACTAACAAATATTCCTTTAAAGTATCAAATTATTTATATATCATTTAGGTTCTAATCTTTAAAAAAATAGTATTAAAATCTCGCCATTTCAGAGGGAAAAATTTGCATTTTTATTAATGTAATAACAACAATTTTGTTTTCAGTCTTTATTTAATAAAAATAAAAATGAAAACTATTAGGAGACGGATCGAAAGCGCGAATCGTTTGATCCTTATACATCTCATAATATCGGAATCAGCTTTCAAACATTCTCGTTTTACGGCTATACACTTGCATTATAAACTCATCTAGATTCCTTGCGTATTTCGCCTCGCATATATCTGTAATTTAGTACTAAAATGTTTTATGTTTGACATCTTACAAATTTTACCCGGAATGCCAAAAAGATAACCAAGCACGAAATTAAGCACAAACATTTAGCATCAACATTTCGCATATATCTGAAACACATTATTAACAGCGGTTGATTTATTTGCTTCCAGGGGGAATAATGAGCACGCTATCAAGCATACTGAGATCGAACAACAGTCGATTCTTCCCAAAGAGAAAGTGGACTGTAAATTGACTTGTTCTTCCTATCCATTACCTATGCCCTAGGCCACTAAGATTTAGAATTTGAAAATGTTGTCTGTCCTCCCAATATCTAAACAAACGATTTTGGCTTTAGAGATGACTCGATTCGACATCGTTTCGAGGCGTAATCGAATCGATATGGTTCTCAATCTCAGTTCCAGCAGTTTGTTTCGTTTTCAGAATTATCCACAAGCTATCGTCGACTTTATACAAAGGGAGAATCCTCCTTTCGAACATATGCTGAAAGTATTACCATTATTTTATTGCAAAAACACGCCAAAAAACATGAATTCAATATAACATTAAAATGTTCAGTGGATCAAAAATTATAGACAAATTGCCGGAGCTTGATGTTTAATGAAAATAATTTCGAAGGAGAAAGAGAGCTGATCGTATCATCAATTATGATTCCAAGATTACTACTTAATTAAAAATTAGTTAAGGGAAAGGAACAAAAAGCCGATGATAGATGAAATGAAATTACTGAAAACAAATCGAACCTCCAGATTATAAGCAAAATTCAAAAGAAGTAAGATATGAATAATATGAAAATTATGAAAGAAGCTGATTAAAATGGCCAAAAATTCGACGACAAAAGAGAAAAGAAACAAATGCGTATACAGTAAGTTGGAAGATGGTGAGATGATTAATTAATTCGAATATTAGAAGGATTCGATAAAACTTTTTTGCAAACTTGAAAAATTAATGATAGGGAACATATTGGCAAACACAAAGTAACAGAGCCATTTGAGCCTACATTAATTTATGCTGGAGATTGAGAGTGAGATGAATGTGGAGGCGAAGCAGAACGCTTGTCCGAAGGCGTGTGGGATGCTGATCGTCTAGGGCTGTAACGAGGAGATCCATAATGCGGCGATCGTGATCTGCTGCGAGTTTTTGATCGGGAACGGCTACGTGAATTTGCTTCTCTTACTCTGATGTACGATGTATCACCCTAAAATATATCCTATTATAAAAGAATCAAAATCCTTTAAAACTAAATTAAAATTTAAAGTTTATATATGAACATATATTATATAAATTCATTCCATCGATATATCCAAGAAAAAAGCTTTAAGAATTAAATGTTAACAAATAAATACAACCTCGTGTGATTTGAACTTAGTATCATCAAGTTTTTTTATAGCATATTTCATATCTTCATAGCGAGTATATTCAACGACACCAGTCCCATCTTTGAAAACATCAGCATAACATATATCACCTGCTTCTCTCATATGATCCTAAAATAGTTGAATATTTAAGACATCTTAATATTATCTACTAACATCAATAATAATAATACTTAATACACTGGCTTATCAAGTGATATTGAGGTAAAATGTAATGATGGTCGCTTAAGTTCTTTAATACTTTCTCATCACTCCTACAATTTTTCCTACAATTTTTAACAAAGCACTAGCACCTATTGCCAATTATTTTTAGCACACACCATTATGTATGGAAATTATCGTGCAAAAACAATTTTTCCAATTCCATACTAATTACAATTTCTCTCGACATCTTTTTTCTTTTTTTTTAGAGCTTTCACCATTACTGGTTAAACTCTTTTCGCTGGCTTGTCGCACTGGATAAATATCCCAGGAAGTCCCCTGGCTATAGAAGTACAGGTGAGTCGCCAGCATCACCCGAATTTCTGGACAGGTTTCCTGCGGGGGACAGAACCTTAGTATCGGCGCTCCGAATTGACTTCAATTGAACTGAATTTGAGCAACAACCCACTAACCACTAAGCCACACTTTCCTCGATAAAATCTAAGTATTGAGTCTAAGTAAATCTAAGTAAATCTAAGTTATTCAAATTTAGAAGCCTAAAAGAAATGCAATATTCATTTTAAATACCTTCAGATCCTGCCAAGAACCCGTTGGGGGGAGTCCAGACACGACGACACGATGACCACTCCTTCGCATTGGTGGTCCACGGGGTGGTGGGCGACGATCACGATCACGATCATCGCGGCCGTATAATGGACGGCCACCTGGCCCACGTGGTCCAACACCTCTCGTTAATTCAACTCTAATGCGACATCCATCCATCTCGTATCCATCACGACCACGTATCGCATCTCTTGCATCGCTAAAATTTTTCCCATTAAAACTTTTAATTCACTGCGATCTTTTATATATCTGCGCGAAATATTCGATAAGAGCCGAGTCGAGGATGTTAAATCTGCCTTTGATTGCTCACATCTAAAATATATTTTAAGGATTCATCGAGTGGATAAAATCTCACGCATCCACCTTCGCAACTACATTAACAGTATCATTGCTTGTTAAACCCTGTGATGGATCGCGTTAAAAGAGGTGGAGCAATCAAAATCTGGACTGATACAGTAAGGATTTCGAACATATAAGTGGACTAGCAATATATGCACTTAAACGATAGAAAAAGGAACGACATCTACTATTGTCGAAAAAGGCACCAGATGGTGCAGTCTTACCCTTGTAATCAGCAATGCAAGGCAAACCAATAATGGCATGAGTTGTTGGAAAAAAGAATTTACTGCAAAAGCTCTCAAATATTTATAAAAAAAAAATTTCCAAAGCATTTTTTAAAAGCCATCATTACTTAATCATAATTAGAGTTTCGTAATGTAAATAAATAATGCAAATCATACTCTAAGCCACAACCCACTATCAACAATTTATGTGAAACAATTCATAATTGATGAGAAAACAGATGAGAATATTAAAAATTTACTTACCGTGGATCATCAAATTCAATAAAAGCAAATGGTGCACCACGAGTCAATTTAACATCGATAAAATTAATATGACCATATTTATAAAAAAGATCCTCCAAATCTCGTTGCCTAATATCTGGTGGTAGATTACCGATGTAAACACGACAATCGCGTTTGCTACCCATATCCCTGTTCGACATAAAATATTTGACCAAAGTTCTAAAAGCAAAGCACAACACAATAAAAAATAATGAAAGAGGACGTAAAATCATAAAATAAAAATAATAAACCGAAGAACAAAACAAAGTTGAAAAAACCAATGATTTTTAAAAAGCAAAGTTTCACCGATTTAACCAAATTCTACGAAACCACTTGCACTTGCGGACCTAGAATTACAACAATACACCAACTACCGAGACCCACGACACCACCCAACCCTCAGAAAACCTCGACGTACATCACTCATGCACAAATCAATCAATAGGTCCTTCTCCTGATTATTGCTCTCGTCTCGAGAGTCAATATTTAAATTAGTTGCAGCGCAATATTACCATATGTATACATGAAGTTATAAAAACCATATGGAAGTAATCGTTTATTAATGAAAAATGCAACAAATATAAAAAGGAAACAATAGAAATAAAAAGGTTAATATACGTGTAATGTGACAAAACATCAATCGAAGGTCAATTGTTCATGAATGAACCACAAATATACTCTTCGGTTACGTGGACAGCAAGGACAAAATGTCTTATTTTAAATTTTTCATTTTTCCTTTTCGTCCATTTTCTCTTTCTTTTGCCTCTAGTTTCGGGCAATTGCGTTCATTCTATTTCCTCACAAAATTTACAGTCTTTCCTTAACTACTATAGCTTTTCTGGCCACTGCACTATATTGCACTATTTATTCGTTCAGCAAGTAAGAAGCTGCTGCTGTCTATGTCACCGAAATGTGCCACAAAATTTGGAAGCAGTTAAAATGCTCAAACTATTAAGCAGATTGTTAGCAGAAGAAATGACGATTCGCAAATCCATCTTATTTTTAATCCATCTTATTTCCGGACGAATTCGAATCTTCTGATCCAAAATTTTCCATAAAATCATTCTCAAAAATATCCTACAATTAATCGCCAAAAATAATCGTTAATTTTTGAGAAATTGCTGGAGAAATTGATTAGTATTTTGTCAGTGATAATGCGGATTTATGGCTTTAACCCAACTTAATCTTCGCAATAAATTAATGTTTCCTCGATCAAAACAGTGTTTGCTCGTAAAAACTTGAAAAATCTTAATTTCTTATCGCATTTTCATTCAATCAACAATCATCTCGAAACATTTCGCATTATCAATGATATTATCAATTTTTTATAATTTATTTGTGGAATATTTGCAACAATTTTTTATTTATTCGATCATTTAAACTATTACATTTTTCTTACAATTTTTCTTTTCTAAAATAAATTCATTAATAAAAATTTATTATTTAAAATTTAAAATAATACAAAGAAAATTGGCAAATTTTTTACAATACGAATTATGTTGCAAAATAAACTTTTATTTTCCTGGAATCCTGAAATCTTTTTTCCAATTCGCACTTATCTCCATTAAAATCTAACTGATTCACAGTGAGGAGAATCGAGAAAAACTCGAACTCTTACTTTTGGAAAGACCACAAATTCGTTGCATTTTAGGTATAAGGAAATTTTAAAATAAGAACGGCAATTTTGCCATGGACGATGCACCGAAACGTTTCTTCTGAGGATATTTTTAATGCTATCAACGCATAGAAAAGAGAAGCAAAAGAAATTTTTAGGAAAAAATAAGGTAGCGATCAGTTATAAAATTGAAATTCGTCTAAATTTGACTTCTAAATAAATTCACTGGTAAGCTTTAAAGATTTGCGTAAGGTCAGTTTTCGAGACCGCAAGAAAATTTCAGAGGATTCATCGTAGATCTTCACTGGATACTGCAGTGTTATTGTAATTATTGTACAACACATTCATCATTGGCTTTCCTTCAAAACGCAGTGCTCTAAGAAGCAGAATTCCGTAAATCGACAGTCTGAATCCACGACACATGCTGCAATAGATGTTATACCAGTGGAATCCAAGTCATGGAGAAATAAAGTATTCCCCTTCCCCTTTCTTCCCCCCTTCCTCAGTAGATTTTGTAATATTTCTGTTTCTAATGAGCGATGTTTTTGATGCTTATTAAAAAATTTTAAAAAATTACATCTCCATTTGCGCATAGAATTTTTCGCTATGGATATCTTAGGAACACATGTTCCATCCACACATATTTGACTCGTTTCGCAAGTTACCAGTGAACAATCGGGCTCAGACCCTGGAATATAAGTGATTCCTCAAGGATGTAGCATTTTCTTCAAGCAGAGGTCCCACTATGATTCCAATTTAGCTTAACTGTACGATTTGCTTTGCATCAGAAACTCATTTGCCAGGCAAAAGTGATGTCTCGGAATCTCTTTATTCGAAGTATTGCAATAAATTGCCTTCAATCTAATCTGTTGCAGTTTCCTTCCTCTATTAATCTTAAATTATTCATTGTTCGTTAAAGATTTTAAATGATTAATTCAAACTAGTGTAATTATTATTTATTATTTTTAAAACAATCCAAAATGTTTTTAAAAATTCTAAAATATTTTTAGCACTGCGATATCCTCAAAAAGTCAGTTTAAACGAATCCAGAAAATCAAACTTATTCGTTACCTTCGAAATCCTCCTGAAATAGCGATAAAAATAGCTTTTAAAAAAAAAATATTTTAAACGAATTCATCTAAAAAATTTATTGGAAAGATTTTTTCGAAAATAGTAATAGTAAAATTTATTTCGGTAAATCGATTACAACAATTTTTTTTCCTGCAATATTTGTTGCAATTCAGCGGATTCGGGAACTTATCTCTATCCTCAGGTGATTTCCTGCTGAAGCGGTCTCATCCCAAGAGACAATAGAGCCGAACAAACAGGATAATGCTTCAGACTATCGTGCTGGGAAGTAAGGCTTCTGCCCTCAACAGCAGTAAACTTGCCATTAAACGTTCGTGGACACAATAATTGCACTCCTATCGCCAAGTAGCTCTGTGGCAAAAATTCTGAACGTATTAAATAGCCTGCGAGCCAAATCAAAATTGGTGAACACCAGCCACTTGCTGATAATTAGTGTGGATATAAGGACGCTTAGAAGTGATAAGAATTTTTAATGTTTCTGGCGAAATTCACGAAAATATTTGCAATTCATATTTGCGGTTCGGGTGCTTCAAATACCCACTACTAGTATCTCAAAAGTTGCATGATGCTGCTCGAGATTTCGTCTCGGTCATCTAATCATATCTTCGATAAGAATAAACCTGTCGTTAAAAAACTCAAGTGGTGTTAGCGACCCACCTGCACTTATATCCTTAAATAATATGCTAAACATTTCGAACCATACTAATAGCCAATAGCCAACACTTCACCGGATGAATGGAACCACTAATTATTTTCGAATTCGCAATTATTGAATAAATTCTTTTCTCTACTCTTTTTTCTAATACTGAATTTTTCCAATAAGTGAGTACCACACTTAGAAAGAAGGGAATTTTATAAATAATGCAAGATAATCGAAAACCTTTAAAGAGAAGATTTGTGGTGAGCGAGAAGAAAAGAAAGCGAAGCATAAGGACGATAACGATTCAAGTATTGGCCAATTTTTTTCTACCACACATTTTTTCCTTAAATATTTATAAATACGATTTATAATGCTACAAATCCTTCATTCTTGCTTATTTTACATCGAGAAAGAAAGAAATATTTTTGGAAATTTTTTCCTCTACAAAATAAAGTAAAAATTATTTCTTAGGGGTTTTCGAAAATTCCCCAAATTTTCCATTTAAATTTCTTTTTTCGATTACGTTCAATCAAGAAAACTCTAAGAAATATTTACAATGCATTTACAATATATTTGAGATGTTTTCTTTTCATCGTTCTCCGTGATTCAGAAAGAAAAATTCGATGGAAATTTCTTTTTTCTCGCTAAATATTGCTTATCTGAAGATTTATCGCAATTTGTCGAAAAATACTATAAATGAAGTTGTTTTCATTTATGGGACACCATAACCGAGTGGTTTTAGATTCCTCCCTCGAGCGAACCGCTCGTATTTTCCCTCCGATTGCAGTGTCGGAGTTGTGCTTGCGATCCATCTTTATTTCGGCCGCTGGATGAATCCCCGGCATAAATTTTGGTACCAAAAGCCACTTTTTCATATACTCAAAATGCGCTTTATTTTTCTGCCTATGTTTAATGTTTATCGTGTTAATTAATTATATGCGATGCGTACTATAAACTTCTAAACTTATATAATTAACAATTATTGTATCTAAGAATATTCCTGGTAATTCGAGATGGTTGCGGCATGAAAACCTGAGAAGCGCTTTTGTGCTATAAATAAGTAACCATAGATTACAATCCTTTTTATTAGTTTATTCCTTTTTTATATTATCGGATAATAAAACAAAAAATAAAATTTAAGAGTAGCTAAAAATTAAAGCCCTTCTTTTTCTAACAGTTCTCACCATAAGTGGTTAGGCTGGCTCCACTGGCTATAAGGGTAAGCAGTTTCCAAGTTGCACGGTCTGATATCACCGTGGACAAAAAGAGAAGCCATTCCTTTTCCATCATCTAAGTCCATGAATTGCTGGTCTACCTATACATTCAAAATTTTTCCGGACTGATCAGTCCAGGTTTTCATCGCCTTTGTTGCCATCCCTTACAGAATTTAGCAGGTGACGAAATGTATGTCAACTCTTGTGGTGGGCGAGGAAGAACGTCCCCGAACCGGCGACGCTCTGTTATGGTACTGTCAATGCAAGTTGTATTTGAGCGAAGGTGGATGCCGCCATGTGCGATTTATCCTCTTGGCGAACGCGTACCTTGGACATGAGTGGTCCAAAGCAGATAATCTATCAATATCCTCCACCCTCATTCAATAGAATCACTAAAAATTAAAATATTTATATTCGCTAAGAATTAAAATAGAATTTTTATTTCCCTTACGTCCCTTCATAGAATAATTCGTCAAACTACGATATTATTAAAAGGAGAATTGGATGGACGACCTATGCTTTATTTAAGAATAAATCTCGGATCCTTTTTCCTCAAAGACGAAGCAATTCGGTTAATCGACAACGTAAAGTTTCTTGCGGAATCTTTCGTTAATCGCAAAAAAATAAAGAATAAATTTTTTATTTACATAAACTTCTTTTCGTAAAAAAAATGGATGAATTTTTTTCCTTCCATCAACGAACATTTAATAATTTTTCACATTTTTTAGGAAATTTGCAAAAATTACTTATCATTTTCATAGTCGCAACTAACTAAGAAGCACTAAAAAAATAGGCGTTAAGCTGTATGCCAAAATTAATCGACTTTATTTGCCAATATCGGACAAAATGCGACCGAGAAATACGCTCCTTAGTCGATGCAATTTGCCTAATGGAGCCATCGCTGTTCGAAAAGCGGTTATTGTTTTAACACCAATAATAAACGAAATGCATTATTTGGCCGAAATGGCTGCTACATTATGCTATATTTGCCAAATATGCGTAACAATAAATTCATATTATTGCATAATTTTATGGTCGATTCAATATTTATAATTTCAGAAGTTTAAACATCTGCGTTATATTTCTGTCCACAGGGGACTCTCTTGTGAGAATATTTCACTTTAGCAATCCATGAACCACTGATTATTTTTTTATTTTTTTTCTACTTTGGAAATTATTGCAAATTATTGTTTCGCAGCTTACAATTACTAAATACATTAAGAAAATTAATAAACAATTTTTTAAAATTTTAATCTAATTTAATTCCAAAAATCAAAATTCTTTTAAAAAAATTCTTACAAATTTTATTTTGTTTAAACTTAAATTCGAGTATTTCTTAATTTATTTAATATTTCGAAAATTCGATTTTATTTAAAAAAAATATTATTTTTCTTGAAATTTTCTTAGATCGCCATTCCATGTTTCACAGGACAATTTTTGCAATTTTCAGTCCGAATTTAAATCGCTGAATGAGATTCATTATGGAGGGATGAATAAGCGGTTAGTGGTTCGCCAGTGCTGATTAGACACGCTCCACAGGCAATTACCAACTGAATAGCAGGATGAGATGCTTTTGCCAGAGTCGTTTGCCAGAGAAACATGGACACAGACCAAAACCGTTCGTAGTGGTAGATTTGCTGCCGTCAGCCGGAGAGGTCGAATAAAGGCGTTTGAACTGGTGGCCTAGACAGTGTTACATATATATTTCGACTTGTTGCCATTTTTTGCGTTTAAGAACAATTTGTTCATGTTTATTATTCATGTTTATCACTCTTTGTTTTATTATTTATTTCTATTATTAAATGATTTTGGGAACATTTAGCCAAATTGCAGAAGTTTGCCAAATTTCTTTAAAAAAACCCATTTAATTCAATCGGCAATCCAATTATGGCAAACGCCACAGAAAAAGGTACGTTTTTCCGATGATTATCGTCGTTTATCCAATTCAGTCAGTAGCGATTGAGACGTTGATTCACTTCCCGTTCTTCCGGTTTTCTCCTATTTTCTGATTTTTGTCGTTATCTTTCTTCACAGTTTACGGAATTTCACTTTATACCCGTTGTGATCAGATTTTGAAATTGAATGTTTTCCTCTTTTTGCCAATTGCCAATTAATTAGGATTTAAATTCATTACAAAAAATAAATTTTTTTTGTACAGTTATTCGGGTAAATATATCGTTTAAGGACGATAGAATGGAACAGAATGGCCTTTTGGTTTGTTTATCACTGTAGGAATCTGTTCGGCTATTGCCCATTGCTACGAATAAAGCTATCATTAAAAGTGGAACTCGAGTGGTCTCAAAAACCCACCAATAATCTATGATTCCTTGCAAAAACTGGCTAACCCTGACAGCAATTAGAGCGGGCCTAACACGAAACCAATCACTGACCTGATATGATATGAAATTTTATTTGAACTTATATTGCTTTTTTTGAGGAAATTTGTAAAGATTAAAGCAGAAATTTAAAAAAAATATTTAAATTGCAAAATTTAATGCATATTTAATAGCGAAGCGATTAGGTTTTATCGTGAGGAAGCATTTTCAGAAGAGGCAAATCAAATTTCGAGGGACCATGCAATTTTGGACTGCATTGTTGCCAATTTTCGTCGTCCACTGCTTAGAGAATACAACCTTGCAAAAAACTGACTCTTTACCAAAAGTTCCAACGTCTATAATTACAGTTCCTAAACTGGTAAATTATTTTTATTAAATTGAATTATAATTTTAAGCAATTCTATGAATAATTAATAATTGATAGAAATTTTTATAAATTTTTCAGGAAATAAGCGACGAAAATTTTACCAATAAGTTTCCCATTAAAAACTCAGCTGTGATCGACCATTCGGTAAATATTTTGCGGCGAATTATATCAATTATATTTGTGATGGATTTAGGTGGTAAATTAGGAGAAATGATGGATGCATTCATCGAATTTGCGTTGAATTTCACAAATCACTGTGTTAATCCGATAGATTCGAGAGATTTTGAAAAAAATTTCGCTTTTAATTTCTGAAATTGAATTGTTACGAAACTCAAAACCAGGAAATAATTAGGCGAAATGAGAAAGGCTTGGTGAAAGGAAAAGTTGTCAGTTCTGCGCGTTCTGAAATTATTGCAGCTATAAGCGCGACTTCAGCCAGTACTGCCGACCTGGTTTACTTGACTGATTACTATTCGATTATTAATAAAAATTTGACGATACATACAAAGCCAAATCAATTTTTTGAACATCAATTTCTATACAAAAATAAGCGATGCGGAATTATTTGCTACGACGAGTGAGCAAATCGGCTATTTGCCAATTAACTCGCATTTCCATCATAGTGTTGAATCCTATAATAGTACCAATGTTCTTGATAAGAACTTTTAATAAAAAAGAAATTTAATAGAATTTTCTTTCACGATTTTTTTCATCAACGAGATTTATGAGTATAAGTTCAAGTGGAATTTCGTCGAAAACAAGTACCATAGCAGCAAAATCAGAAATGGTACCTGGCCACCTTTCAACTGGGAATGAATTTGCCATCAAAAGCAAAAATAAGGGTGGTGGCGAGCTTTCCCTCTATCGCCAAGTGACTGTTTAACGAAATGGCCTCAACCTACAGTCTCACGATGTATTCTCACGATTTATTTTATTCTCACGATTTATAAATCGTTCAGCAAAAATCAGAAATAGTTTATGCTGTTAGAAGAAAAAAACTCCCCATTTGAATAAGAATTTTATCCCTCCACTGCAAGTTTTCTTTCAGAATTACGTTTAAGCGGCAAAAAATTTAGAATTTAAGGTGCATAGGTGAAATGAAATTGATTTCAGTGCATCTATTCCGAAGTAATTCCCTGGAAGAATATCTCTGATGAAAATTTCTCACCGTATTACTGGCCAATAGAAGAAGCCAAATGGTACTTATTTAATTATTTAATTGGTTCATTGGCTGATTTTTCAGAGTTTAGACCTAAATGAAGATTCGACAACATTTGATAAGACAACGATCAGCTCAACAAATCAGTCCTATAATAAAGATTACATCGGTACATGTTTTGGCAAAATACGTTCAACCACCGGTTTTGATTCAAATTTTCGCACACTGATGGACCGATATTCGCAAACTGCTCAAGTCGATCAGATCGATCAGTTGATCAGACAAAAAGTTTTTTGTTACGAAATTTTTCTACGAAGGCAATTCGAATATTGAGACAAATTGAGATAATAACCAAATTAACCGAACTGCAAATTGCGGACTATGGGCGAAGACTGCTGCTTTAGTTCAGTTTCGATCAGTGCCCTTTGATGAAAACCTTATCATTAAAAGCGAAATGCGAGTGATTCAGTTTATTCCGTAACCACTGATCGAATTCGCTGTTGTAATTTTGCTATTCACAGTATTTCATAACGATCATAACTTTTATTAATTTTTATTTCAGATGGTCGATTTATGCACGGAGAAGGAAATTAGCGAAACTGAATCATTTCTGGATGATCAACGAGGAAGTATACAAATCGCTCAATTAGTCAGCTTAAATTTAACAAATGATGAGAAAGACCGACTCAACGTGTATGAGAATATCAATGATGTTACGTCTATGAGGAATTTTTTCCTTGCCAAATTTCATGTACGCCTTTCCTTCACTTAGCAAATTCACTTTTATTTCTCAGTTAGCGGTCATTATTTCTGGTTAGATGGGCTTCACTGGCTTCCGATGACATATTGCCGCCGTAGAGTCACTTGGGAATAGAAACTGCTTCTCATTAGCAGAGATTTTCACAAATAACAGGTTTACTCTTGTCGCGATGGGATTACCGGCTGAAGCACAGCACCGTACATCGAATGATCATTCAAACGGTATTTTCAGGCTCTAACAGGCGAACAATACAAGCGAATACAAAAAACTTATAATGATATTTTAATGAAATTCGTTTATGGCAGTCTTAAGCAAAATATCGGAAAATTTCTGTCCAAATTAAATTCGCAAGAAAGAAATATTTTAAAGGTATTAGAATTTGCTAATTCAATTTCTTGTTTTTAATAAATTTTTAAACCAAAATATTTAAAAATCCTTAAACTTGAAATTTTATATTACTTTAGCACAACATGTTTTCGTTGATAAAATGTAAAAATGCGGAAATTTCGAAGGGTGAACAGTTCGGATAAATACTGATTAAGCAAATGATTTAGAACGAGGAATTTATCAGTGCTAAGTTCGATGAAATTTAAAAGTGAGTGATTTCGGAAGCCAAAGCCATACGAAGTTGACTTGTAACATCAAATCTAACGGCTCACCTCACCTTATCTTAAGAACGCCTTTTATTTTCAGGCTTACGGCATAACATCACAACCGGAAAAAATCAACGAATTTATTGATCAAAAATTTACAAAAATGAATTTAAGCAGTGATGATGAGGATGAAATACGAAAATATGTCCGAGGATTATTTATGTCAATTAATTACATTTGATTTATATTAATACTAAAAGTATAAACGTTGTGCAATACCTCACAGTTATAATATCAGTTCTTATTTGTTATCAAATTTACTCATCTGATTAGAGAAATGTGATAAACTAAAGGTGAGAGGGCAGAAGAGCGAAAAAAGAGGGCCAGCACAAGGTTATACACAGTACGTTTTTCTGATTAGAGGAATGTGATAAACTAAAGGTGAGAGGGCAGAAGAGCGAAAAAAGAGCGCCAGCACGAGGTTATATATACCTAAATTTTTTCTCCACTATAGATAATCGATAAGTACCATTGCGTCAACTATTAATAGTGACTTGAATATTTATATTTTTGAAAGTTCCATAATTTATTCAGTAATTAATCGAAAAACCTTAAAAACCTTGTGCACTCGAAAACTTTTCACCAAATTTATTTTCATATCGAAAATGGTGTAAATTGGCTGATGCTGCATCGCCTCGGGCATATATACTTATTTTATTTGAAAAAAATAGAAATTAGATCATTTATTCGACATCTAATTTTATTTTTCTTCCATAAACTGAATGTTAGAACCATTAATTAATAAAACGACTGGAACCAAATATTTCATTATAGCTTGGAACTTAACCGACCTAACCCCCTCCTCCACTCTCCGCCACCCACACAAATAAACACTTCTCCAGCAGTTCATGCAAAAAAGGAACTGAGTTTTAGCAATACCTCTTAGTGCTTATAAAGTGCGGCTTAGATTTTAAAAAACTTGCATTTTTATTTTCGGTATATGCGAAGAGGGGATGGACTGTGTGAAGAAACATTGCTGTGGTCGGTACCATTCCCAACTTGTGCTTTCTTGGTTCGTTTGGCGTAATATTCTCGCAATATTCGCGTAATATTTGATAAATTATATCGGTGAACATTCGCTGATAACTAATGAGTTCGAATTTTCATACATCGTCGAAGCCACTCAAAGAAGTGGATATAAGGCCACCGGAAAACACAGTTAAGGTAATTTTCTCAGTTTTATACGAGAAATGAGCATTCGTATGGAGTGGAAGCTGATTGAGAATTAGGCGTTTGATTTGTATTTGTCTGTTGTTTAGGGTCTATTTTTTGGTTTGGTTTGGCTCACTGAAGGGACGGTGAAGATGAAAGGGCACAGACTGACCGAGGTTTCATTTTAAATGCCTCATCCAAACTGCCAAAATGGGCAGTTCAGAGCTATAAGACCTGTCCTCAGCTTTATCTCCTGTGTTTGATGTTTGTTGTTTTACCCATCGAACAAGGAAAGCGCGTTGAAATTGGTGCAGAAATCGAAAACTTTTCAGGGCGCAGTGAAATTGGACCCATCAATTGGGAAATATGTAGACGAAGAATTTGGTATTAGAGAGGGATCCAACATGACTTGGACGTACGTTACATTTGATAAACAGGTAGGTTTCTTACGATTAATTTGCTCAATTTCAACTTCGATATTAAAAAAACTTTTTTTGAATTTAATTAATTAAATCTGATTATGAATCTAATTTTTCACTGTTTGAAATTTGTTTAGAGAGATTTTTGTAGAACGAAGTACTTAACGATCTTATCACTCGCCTTAGCGTTGAACTGAAGTTACCTCAAGCGGAAAAGAATTTATATGCGCTGAGATTTGAAGATCGCGAAAATGATGGCGCTTTTCTGACGAATGAAAATCGAAGAATGATACGTCAAGGATTTATGCTAATTTTGACAGCGTCACCGGTATTTTTTCTTTATAAAATAGGCTAAACCTGAAGGTAAACTTAAGGTTTACCTTATGCTTCGCATCTATTTTACGAATTTGTTTTCATAAAAATTAAACTTTAACGAATATAAAAAATAATAACTGAAGAAAGAAAGCGTGTTTAGGAACGATATGCGTTATTCATTTTATCACGTCTTCGACGTGCAGTGCCTCAACAATATGGCTTTCAATCTATTTTATCGGAATTAATTGCCGTTTGTGGTGACATCGCATTTGCTGTTGAATTTCACCGACTTGGTGGAATTAAATTAATCTTTGAAATGATTGAAAGTGGTCTTTATTCAGAGTGAGTTCTCTTTTTTTTGCTGGAAAATATTTATTTATTATAGCTTACGATTCATTTGAAATTATTTTTATTGAAATTAGAGATTTTCAGTGATGTGTCAGTTCAGTCGCAGTTGCTTCAAGCGTTATTGATTCTCATGGATCATTCAGGTCTTTTTTTGTGGACCGATGTTTCTGATATTTTTATAGCAAAGATTGCTGAGAATATAACGGGTCGTGCAAAACAGGAGGATAATACACTTTTATTATCATCACTTAGTATTCTTGATCTCATTCTTAATTCCAAAAGGTATGTTCTTTATTTATATATCAAATTCAGGTTTAAATTTTTTAAATATTTTTGTGAATGAATTAAGTTTGAATATTTTAGTTTTATTCTATTGTTTATTCTTTCTTTGCTGCTAATTTAGTTTAAATTTTCTATTAGAATTTCTCCTTGTAAATCACAAAACAACAACTACATAATTTAATTAGTATTTAGTTTAAATAAAATAATTAAAATAATTTTATTAAAATAATTTTTAATTTATTAATTTTTTAATTTAATTAAAAAAATGTAAGCTTAAAAAAATAAGATATTTATTACAGACATACATTTATACATTATTTAGCAGTTTTCAATTTTATAATTTCCACTCACATAATCATATAATTCTTGCAAATATGCAGAAAATATTATGAAGTAGCATTATATTATGGTTCCATTGGCTCCAATCACTATTATGTTGCGGCATCATCACTAGAGAATCACTTAAGGATAGATTTCTTTGTATCACACAGATTTACCTTCAGTAGGTCAGATTTATTCTCATCAAAGTATAAGGGCTCTTAATGTTTTTCTCAGAATTTATATACCATCTTCGGAGCTAATTTTTGATGCTCAGCATTATTCCAGTTTTAATTTATACTATTAATATTCATTATGCTATTAATATGCTATTTGAAATCCAGTTATCAGTTCAAAATAAAATGATGTTGATGATTTAACTCATAAATTCTATAACATAATTATATAATTAATAATTATATAACTATGTAATTATTATTAAATTAATGTTATTTAGGTTTGAAAGTCGAAGAATTTTTAAAATTAGATATATAGATATATTTTTTAGTGAATCTAAAATGGTTGTTGTTCTTCGAGAAGTGCCCTTCGAATCACTTATTCGACATCTAGAAAAATCAGACGAACGAGTTCTCCTAAATGTGTTAACACTCATGAATTCATTATATAACAAAGCTAGCAGCGATGAGCGATCCATTATTATTGAAGTTCGTTTTTAGTATACTTCCAGTTTCATTAATTGTTATACACACACACTTACAATTTCATTTAATCAAAATTTTTTGTTTTTATTATTTTATTTGATTAATCTTAGCATCTGCTCAGTAAGCCGTTCCGTCTCGCGATTGAAAATTCTGTGCTACGAAAATGCAGTCATTTAGATGTCGGGATCGAACAACAACTTATAACTGTGCAACGCATTCAATTCAATAAATTAGCTCAGAAAGCAATGCGACAACCTTCTGATGCTGATATTGAACGTATTATGGTAAAAAATTAGTTTCAAATTGTTTTATTGTTTTATTACTTCAAAAATTGTTCTATAAATGTATTGTAGAAATTTTACAGCAACTGAAAATATTTAATGCTGAAATTAGTCGGTCGCCAAGTTTTGAGAATGTGGAAGAAATCCGAGCGGATTGGAGTTGTTTTATGAACGCGCCTCCTGGTGTTTTAGCTTTGGAACTTATCATTGCTCTCGCTGCTCATCATCTTGATTCACTTACTAAAGTAACTATTATTTATTAATTTTTTATAATATAATTTTAAGTATAATTTTTTTATTACAAGAATTATTTATGTTTTTAGCAACATTAATCTTAAGATAAACATGGAAAATTCAATGCGAATCGATGGTCATTCTTGGTCATTCCCTGTTGTTACTTTCCATCTTGTTAATATGCTAATTGATATTTTGCATATTATAAAAGAACCTGGTTTGTAATCTGTTATTTTTTTTTATAAAATATAATTAAGCAAAATTTAAAGTAAATAAAATTTTATTCATTTTTTTATGAACTTAAGTTTCAGCAAACTTAATTTCTTATTTCAGAGGAAGGTGATCGTTTATATGTCATGTTATTTAAAAGCGATCGTCCTTTCATTGATTTGTTTGCTGTAATGATAAGACTTTTTCATCGAACCTGGTATGAAATGAATGCTAGTGATGAAGATATCAAAAAAGTAATGATTTTTATTCGATATTCGACCAACCCTTCATGAATGGTTTTGATTCGAGTCCTTTCGCACCATGTTTTATCAGGCGCCGAATGACGAAAATGAAAGGGAGTTATAATGGCTTAGTGGGTTGTTGTTGTTTTGAATTGCCGATATCGCTAGGGTTCTACTACCGGTAGGAATAAACGTGTCCTCCGAAAATCCAGGTGGTTAATTTACTTGCACTTCTGTCACCTGTCTTTTCCTGGCAGATATGTCTGGTCCTGAGGGAACCTAATCAGCAGTGGCAGTGTGCGCACTTAGAAAAAAAAACAATAATATTTTGGCATTCCACATTTTTCCCATAAATTTTTTTATTTTTTCCAGTTATCTCATTTTTTTGATCTTCTTTGCTTTTAGTACAAGGAGTATATTGTAGGTATCAGCAATAGTTCGGAAACAGATGGATATTTGCCTTCGAGAAAGGCCGGAAACAATCGAGAAATTAGAAGAACTTCTCATTCATCATTCATATTCTTATATGCAAAAGTTGTGGGATGGTGAAAGAAGTGCCAAAGAAGCAGAAGAATTGCAAAGTGATGCCGTGAAGTTATTTTTAGATACTTTTGTATATTTATGTACTTATATTTATATTTACACGATTTTTTTCTTATAATTATAAACTTTGGCATTTATTTAATCTGTCCAATTGATATTTTTTTTTAGAGAACTGCGCAAACATTTAAGGCCTTCAATTGTTGATTTAATAAAAAAGAATAGAAAAAATGCTTTAAAAAATGGCTATACGTTCGGAAAATTATCGAAGAGCAAGTCTCTCCAGAAGGGTTAAATACTTTTTGATTTTTTCTCATTTTTCCAACTTTTTGTTCTGAAAATATTTTTTATGTTTTTAGGCCAACAGTTTTGGCATTGGAAACTGGATTCAAATGAGAAAACATTTCTTTATACCGATTGCGCTACAGCTGATGGAAATATTACCGCTGATCCTTTAACGACCGTTAAAGGTTAATATTAAATGCTGATCAATTAAATTCGTAAATCCGAAATTATTCATTCATGAGTATTCATTTCTTCCTTGGTTGTTATAATAGTTTTTATATGAATTAATTGAGCAGCACTGGATAAATTAACTTAAATTAATTAAATTTCAGTAGCAGTTTCTGAAATACAAAAAATTGCCACTAGTACCAGCGGAGATTTGTTGTTGGCTAGTCCAAAAGGTAAAAAAAGTATTGTTGTCAGGGGTCTTATGTTAGAAGTTGGTGATAAACCAGAAGTTTATTATTTAGTAACATCGGATGAACAAATTATCGATATGTGGGCTGATGGATTCAATGCTTTGATTGGTTAGTTTTATTTCGCCATGAAAATTGCCACTTTTGAATGGAAAATTTTTCTACGTGTGGATGAGTGTAATGAAAAAAGTTTAAAAAACCCGGAGAAGATTTGAAATTTCTAATTTTCTATCATGGAATCATCAATTGATTATATATTTTTATATATTTATTATTATTTTATTTATTTTTTATTTTTATGAAATATTTTTTAAAAAGTTAAAAAAAAGTTAAAAAAATTGCAAATAATAGGAATTTTTTTCTGTGGAAACTTCAAAAATGGGAATTTCTAGGTGTTGACCACCTTTCAACAGAAGCTGAACAACAAGTTGATCGATTTTTAAATATAGAACTAAAAATGCGTTTACTACACCTTGATCGCATTCCAAATTCTTTCCAAATTCCACCATTACCCTCGAATTTCGATTGGATTTCATCAAGGAAATTATAATTAAATTTTCAAAATTATTTAATATATTTGCTTTTTTTTCATTCAATTATTTAATATATTTGCTTTTTTTTCATTATCACTGTTAGTGTTATTATGGCCACTGATAAAAACTTGAAAATTGTTCATCGGAAGCCACCGTTTTAATTATTTATATAGTTTGTTTAATTATTTGATTGTATTGATTCCATTTATAAGTTTTTTTTTATTTTATGCATCTATTTTTTCTGATATTTGTTTCGCCAATGTTTTTTCTTATCTGATGAATATTAATCCATAATAATGTGTATTCATGCCAGTGCACGTGTGGGAATTTTCAAATAAATTGTTTCTCCTAGCAAAGCCCACCATTTTTGGTTTGTCTGACCACCGAAGTTCCTAATATTAGTTAATTTTTATCCAAATTTGTTGAATTTTTAATAATTATTGCGTAATCTGGCGAACTTATTTGAATTTTTTTTAATAATATTACACCTAACGTAATTTCTCCTTCAGTTTTATTAGCAAAAAATATTTCGTGTGCTTTTTGATTGTTTTTCGGCAAAAATCCATTCAATATTAATAATTTCTAATAAAAACTAATAGAATTTTGTATTCTATTTGATGCGCGCTAATATTTTTTCTTTCAGTGTTTGATTTATTTTGTTCAATGAGAATATTTTTTCAAGAATTTTTAAAAATAATTTGCTTAAAGTTTTACTGGAATTGCATTCATCTATGGAACATTTCTATTATTTTTTATTCAAAATTTTTTGTAATTATTATAGAAAAACAAATTGCCGCAAAATTATCACGTTAAATTTAGAAATGCCCGTATAAAGTTAAGTTTGCTGCTTCAATTAACTATCTTTTGCTTGTCTTTTTTGGTAGCGATTTCTAGCAAATACAAATAAACTCATGGCTTGGCTCGTATAATTTGTTTATTTTTTTAAATAAAAGCATTTGGCTTTATTTGTCCAACTTGGCTGCTCTCTATGATTAAGTAAATATTTCTTATTTTTACCTCTATTTTAATCGTTTTTAAATAAATCTGTGGGAAGTGAGATTTATTTATTAATATAACCGAAAATAAGTGCATATTTACGAATCATTTCATTACTTTCATGTCAGAAGTATTATACAAATAGTACAAATCAACATAGCAAATGTACTAAAAATACTAATATTGTTCTGTAAATTTTCCAAATTTTTTTCGGAAAAAAATTGTTTACAATAAATACGATTTTCGGCCTTCGAAAAACTATAATTGGCTTTTTTAAATTAAAATATTATTTTCGCTTCCAATTTTTGAATTTTTTGAACTTCGAATGAAACGAATTTTTCATAAATTTTCATCGATGTTTATTTTGTTCTTTTAAAAATATTTTTGCACGGAAATGGATATTTGTCTTCTAATAACGGTTCGTTCTACGTTTTGCGTCATTAAAAATTGGCAATGAGAAACGACCGAATCCGAAGTAAATCTCGTGAAAAGCCTCACGGAGTATTTCAAAGTGCGTTATAATCTCTTACAGTGCCGCGAAAAATGCTCTCCGGAATCGAGAATACAAAAAAATCTGATTTTCACCAGAATTGTTTTTTTTATCCTTCGAATTCGTCGCATATAGAAAGTCTCAGTTGATTCAATTTTTACTGGTACAATAGTGTAACGGTAAAAAGCGTTTGACTGATATGGCAATCACTTAGCCTCGGATAAATTTCTTTGGATTCGATATTTAGTTCGGAGAAGTTGAACACCATGTATTCTACCGAAGACCGCCTTGTATCGGGCCACGTGTAAGCACCAGTCAAAACTCATTGCGTCTCATTTCAAAAATGGTGTCGCTTGGTTATTTAAAGATTTAACTGGAAACAAAATTCAACGAAAATTTGTATTTAACCGATAGCAATTCCAATATTCTGAATTCTATAAATTTTAGTAAACTTAATTGTAATTTAAAATTTACTTGATTCAGTCATTAATGGATTAATTACCTTTTGAATCTTCAACTCATCTTATTTTCCTTCAATTTTTCGCTTGTTTTCTGGTTTTCGAGATTCGTTTTGTGGTTCCTTTGCCTGCAAATATATTTTTTCACTTTTCAACTGATAGTCGAATGATTTATTGCTTCGACTGAGATTACAAAAAATGAATTCGATTCATGGCTTTTAGCAGCAATGAAATTGTAATCTATTCGTGTTATTAGTCAAGTTTTGGAGTTTCCGTTGTAATCCCTTGTGAAAAGCAAAGGTTTCGGTTCCAATCGGAATGAACTCGTCATTAAAATATTCGGAGTAAACGTTCGGTGATTTCTACTTCTGGCAGAATGCTTTCTGGCGTTAACCATTAGTCAACCGGAAATGATAGGCACTAGTCACCCTTTAGAGATGTTTGGTGTTTCATTATCACATATTGGTTTTAAGAGATCATTTTGAAATTAAAAATTTTTTACGTACGTCCGTTGATTCGATGTTTCCTTCGCCAGTCTCGTTACTTTCTGCCTCAATTTCGTATTCTTCTACTTCTACTTCGCTATCGGGAAAATCGTTAGAATCGTCAGTCACGTTATTTTCAAAATTTAAGTCTCTTTTTTCCAAACTTTGAGCATTATTTGCGTTATTTGCTATAAATTACAATTTTTACATCGCAAAAAATATTCATTTTTATTAGCGTTCGTTCATTTTTAATCAAAAATTGCAATCAAAAAGTGAAATTTTATAGATTAATTTGAAAAAAATTCCAAAATAGACCAAATAAAAATATCGCAAATAAAAAAAATTTATTCGAATTTTAAAATTTATAAGAAATAAAATAAGTCGGTCGGGTGGTTGTTGCTTATCCCGCAATTTCGAGTACCATAGATCGGCGGATTTGCAACGAAGGCAGCAAGACAGAGCAAAAATCTCATGGCCTCAAAAATGGAGGCGGCGGCTCGATTAGGCGACAATAGGAAACTATTCTGCCTTCTTCACAAAGCAATTATGACTCGGGAACGATCAGTAAAATGGTAAGAGACAGCAATGGCGTACTAATTAAAAGTATTAAGGATCACTTCATAAGATGGAAAGAATTCTTTGAGGTCAAACTTAACCATGAAGCGCCATCTGTTGCCCCTGATATAGCTGATACGTTTGCCGAAATATACGTTTGCAATTGCGAGCTTCCAACAGAAGAAGAAATAATTTCAGTTATCCATAAGCTTAAGGCCAACAAAACTCTAGGAGAAGATGGTCTTCGCTTTTCAAATGCTGTCCATCGTCCTTCATAACGCACCTTCAACAAATGTACTCTTTAGTATGGAAAAAAGAAATATTACCAGATGATTGCAGCAAAGCAATTTTGCTCTCAATTCTCAAAAAAGGTAATAGGACATAATGCGACAATTATCGAGGAATCAGCCTGTTAGACGTCTCAGCAAAAATTTTTTTCCCTGCTACTCAACAGACTTATGGAAATACGGGACAGCAGGATGCGCCCTAATCAAGCTGGTTTCAGACCAGGGCGCGTTTGTGCTAACCAGATATTCACGTTAAGAAGGATGTTGGAACATCGCTTCAAATATTTGCAACCCACTGTCACGTGTTTCATCGTCTTTAAGGCTGCCTTTGATTCAATTGATAGAGCGGCGCTTTGGAGGATGATGGAACGTGATGGTGTTCCAGAGAAAATCTTAGACTCATAAAGGCATTTTATGAGCGCACGTCGGCGCAGATCTGTGTATATGGGGGGTGACAGATTCCTTCGAAATAAGAAGGTGTCCGTCAGGGCTGCGTCGTCCTTTCCCTCATAATATTCAACTATGCGATAAACTGGATAATGGACACTGTTTGTCGGCGCTCAAGAAGTATCCGAATTAGTCCAGAGCATCGTATCACAGATCTTGAATACGCTGATGATGTAGTCCTTTTTGCTGATAGTTATTACAGAAATGTAAGTAATACTAAATAACGTGTCAGAAACTGCAGCAAGAATTGGACTCAGGATCATTGTAAATAAAACGAAAGTCTTTTCGTCTTATGTGCAAGAAGCTGATAAAATGCCTCTTTTTGTAAATTCATTGCCGGTTGAGGAAGTGCCTGATTTCAAATACCTTGAGTCCACTCTAATACCAAATGGACAGGCAAAAGATGATATTATAACGGCAGCTAGAAATGCGTTCTTCCTGTTGACGAAACATTTATGGAATCGACGTGAAATCACCATAAAAACGAAAGTCCGCATCTATATTGCCGTGATCCTTTCGATCTTATTATATGGTTCTGAGATATGGCCAATGAGAGTGGAGAATATTAAGAAGTTATCTGCCTTTGGCCACTCTTGTCTAAGGTATATTTTACGAGTTCGCCAAGCGGATAAAATCTCACAAGATCGCATCCACCTTCGTTCAAATACCACTTGCATAAATAATGTTATCACATAGCACCGCCTTCGCTGGTTAGGGTACATTCTCCGTCGTCCACCACAGGAGTTGACGCATATTTCGTTATTTGCTAAACGTGGACGGTTGGCGTCAAAAGCGAAATGGGCCAATCAAGACCTGGACTGATACGGTGAAAAAAGATTTTAAACGTATAGGTGGACCAGCAATATATGGACTTAGACGACGGAAAAAAATGGCTTCAGTTACTGTCGACGATGGCATCAGATCGCTTGGAAGCGTCTTACCCTTGTAGCCGTTGGAGCCAGCCTAACCAGTAATGTTAATGAGAGCTGTTAGAAGAAGAAGGTGAAGATCGGCAGCGTGCCTCTGGCACGAATAAACATGTCATGAAGAAATTCGCTGACCGGCTGCTGCTGCTGCTGGCGACCCATCTGTACTTTTTTTGACACTCTGGGCATGTTTTGTTTAAAATAAGAGTAAAAATAGAAGTTTCTTACCACTTTCTAAAGCGGTGACAATGAAGAAAAGTATGAAAATGTGGCCTAACGATTATTTTATCGAAACTCTGGTCGTATCAATGCATTTTTTTTTACACAATTTCGTCAGTTTTTATATACTTTTTTAGCCAAAACAATTCATTTG